TAAACATACCCTTATGGCAACTCCTTTTACAGGGGAGCAAAATGACCACAGTAGTCTGCATGCCCTAAAACTCCAATCAGCAACAACTCCTTTTATGGTGACTCCCAAGACTGGCCCCACAATCATCATGAGAAATTGACACCTGAGTCAAAAGCCACTTTCAAACTTACAAGCAAGGTAGGTGGGCTCCACCCCCCTAGAATATCTATGTGAAATGTTTGAGCACATTGAATCAATTCCTTGGCACCCTCCTTTTACCAAAGGTATCACCTTCCTTGGAGTCTTTTTTATACTTCTAGTCCTTGTATAATTTTTTGTTGGTCTTCACATTGCCTTACATGATAACGGGCAGTGCATCATGGCAGAGCATGGACAGTTGCATTGCTGCTCAAGGTATTTCCAAAAAGTATGTAAAGCAGCAAAACAAACAAAACTAACCATATTTACCTTGTTCAAAATTGGTTATGGTTTGGAAGCTGCCTTTTGAATCACAGTTTCTGGCTCATACTACAGAAAAAGGTAGTCTTGTCTGTGTGTGTATCCATTTCAATATTAAATTTCCATGGAAATCAGTTGGGTCACAGTCCACCCATCCATTCACCTGTGAGTGTCTTATTATTATCTTCAGTCAGCCACCCACAGACCTATGAGAAATCGCTAACAGGCATTTAGCACCACCTATAGTTTAATTATACCAGACATAGGCAACGCCGAAATCCACTAAATATCTACATCCAGCCAATAGCACACATTTAAACAAAGCTGGAATCCACAAAATACCTCAAGACCCAATCATATACCGTTGATGCAACCTTCATCCGTTTCAAAGGTGCCGACTGACAGATTATCCCGCTGCGCTATGCATCAACGTCGTTATTCGCACCCCGCCGCTTAGCCCCATTATGCCTAATTACATGGCTTGGATTTTGCCTTGCGCGCTTCGCGTATGTTCAGCGCATCGAGTTCGCCGCAAAATTTGTTGTTGGAAGATTGCTTAGCAACGGTGCTGCCATCCATCGCTATGGAAAATCCAGCGCAAAAACAGTAGAATTATGTGCCGCATAAAAAGCCTATAGAGGCCAATATCTTATCTTAACAGGAGGCTCTGGCAGCAGAGGCGTAGTTTTGCAATGCGAGTTTGGGACTGAACGGTAAAAATGACCCAACCAGCGCTGAAAACATGCCAACAAGCAGATTTCTCCCCGGAATTTGCCCACTTCCTTCTCAAAGTTGGGGCAAGGGGCTGACGGCCAAGTGGGGGGGAGGGGGGCGGCAGGGTGCTCGGGGGTTAACCCCCCTAGTTTAATATAAGACTACACCCCTGTTTGGTACTCCGCTCTTTTGCTGCAAGGCTTCCTGGCGGTTTGTAGCTGCCAGCGCAGCGCCTACGACAGATCTTCAAGGTTTTTCTCAACTTGCGAAATTATACATCGGGCTCGCAAACAATTATTCCAAATCTTCAGCCTCCGTTTATTGGTTCTATTCAAATATGCGCGGCCAGACCTGGATGCCACCTTCATTGCCAATGTTCCGGAAGAAATAGATATGGATAGTCAGGTTTGAACAGTTAGGTTAGAGCATAAGTTTCTTTTCAATCGGAAGGGGCAGGGCGGGCTCCCTGCTCATGCTTGGGAAGACAATAGGCTGAATCCGGAGAAAAATCCATCTGTTGACGTATTTCAGGAGTAGTTTCGCCATCTTTTACTGCTTGGCCCCGTTCTCACCCCCACCCCACTGCAACCTTCATGTGAAGCTACACGCCGCTGAACGCCGTTGTTCCGGATCTTCTACAGGAGCCTTTCTCTTCCACCGCCTCGCATTTTAAAACGCCGCCACCGATAAAATAGTAGAAGAAAACACCTGCCGCGCGTTGTAACACATCAACCCTTTCCCTGGGGCCTTCGATGTTTTGCCACATGATGACGATATACGGGTGGCCGCCTATTGTAAAGCGGCACCGTCCTCCCAATACTTCAACTTAACGATGGAAGCGGCTTGAATCAGTCGAGAGGCCATTGCGCGAACTGTGGTCCTCTTGGTCCGGGCGTCGGGTTCCCGTTCGCAGGAACGACACCAAGGTACCGCTAGAAATGTTTCAAAAATGAAGTTTTCGGTGAAATACACCTTTGCTAATAAAACCTGGCCCCGTATGCCTGCCTTTTCAGCACCCGGTCTGGCCCGGCCGCCCGACGGTGAAGGTTCCGGCCGCCATTTTGAACATTGTGAGCTCCGTGCCGGAAAACAGCGAGTCCCCGCACACATTTTATTGTCCTCAGTCACAGGGTGTGCAGTCATTCTCGCTAACATCATAATTTACATGCCTCATACCCAGAGATCCGAGGAGGGATGCACACAACGCATGCTAGGCTTTTGCATGCCTAAATGTGTTGCCGCAGCGCGTCACAACTGGTTCACACGCGTGCGCTATGCAACGGCCCTGAGACGATATGAACGTAAAGCAACACATCATTTTAGAATGTGGGCGGATGTATGACTTGCTATACACCTTTTTGACCGTGCCACATCACAAAGTGCCTGTAGCAAGCCTTCTCTCCAGCTGACGTCTGGCATCTAGCACAGGGAACAGCGCGTGCGACACCTTCAGCTGTTATACAATTACAATATGCAACAAATACCGCATATTGACACACTCCGAAAATTTGGCCCGCTTCCAACTGCAAATGCCCCCAGCCAACGCCGCTTATCCGAACATATTCGGCCATGCAGTTATCTTCAGCTTATTGTATTGGGCCAAGTAGAAGCCTGCGCCCGGCTTCGCTACCATCAGCCTTTTATGATCCGTAACGAGCGTGAACAATACGCTGGCCTCGGAAAACATCACACAGCATCCTCTGAAAGTCCGACGGCGTGTCTCCTCTTCTGATGCATAGGGGAGTGGATTACCTGAGTGCTTTTAGCGTAATAGCAAGCGTAAACGACGCTTTTGACACCCTGCACATCGACCAATGCAAACCCAGCAAAGGAGAAATCAAGTCATTCAATAACGTGGTATTGAAACGCTTTTTATACGATAGCCCACAATCGACGAACGTGCGCCATTCGTCAAGCCCAAGAGACTGAGTATGATACAGCTCTTCAAGACACCAGGTCAATATCACAACGCACGGAAAACACAAGCGAGACAGATAATTCCACACATGTGAAACCTCAATACACTAGTGGCATAGTCTGGTAAGTGAACACAAATGCAGCCACCAAAGAAATACCGCGTCCAAGCGATTACAAATCCTGAAGATTCCCATTTACTATCTACCAATTGGCTCAATTAGGTGTGCGAACGAAGTGCAATCACGCGTGGAATGCAGCCGTTGGTAGTCCTCCATCACTTCAGCAGCGCCTGACACTATCAGCCTCGAAGCCGACTCGGCAGCCACAGGACACCGCCAGTCTCGGTAGCCACAGGACGCCGCCAGTCTCGGTAGCCACAGGACGCCACCAGTCTCGGTAGCCACAGCACACCACCAGTCTCGGCAGCCAAGGACGCCACAGCCTCAGCAGCCACAGGACGCCATCAGCCTCGCAGCCACGAGACACAACCCTCGGCAGCCACAGGACGCCACCAGCCTCGCAGCCACAGCGCCACCAGCCGTCGGCAGCACGAGACGCCCTCGCAGCCACAGGACGCCACCAGCCTCGGCAGCCGCTTCAGCAGCCGCCGGCTCCAACAGCTGCGTGACGGCGGCACGGAGGTCGGCACGCAACGTGTCGCCCTCCTCCTGCAGCAGGTGGCGCAGCTCGTCGTCGGCCTGGTGCGGCCCGGCGGCCAGCAGCCGGCCCAGCAGCAGATCCAGCCGTCCGGTGCCCTCCAGCTGCAGCGGCAGCTGCCGGGCGCTGCGGTACAGCGCAGCCAGTGGCGCCGCCTGCCGCGCCGTCAGCACGCGGCCGCCCAGCAGCTCGGCGGGCTCGGTCAGCATGAAGCGGTCGGCGGCGGCCAGCAGCGGCAGCCACAGCCGTGGCGGCAAGTGGTCCAGCAGGCGACAGCCGCCGCGGCAGCCGTACGCCAGGTGCACCAGCGGCGCCCGCCACAAGCGCGCTCCAGCTCGCCCAGCGGCACGCGTCGGCTGCTGGCCTCGCGGAAGCCGCCGGTCAGCAGGGCGGCCAGCACTGGCCCGCCGGCGGCCAGCGGCGGCGCCGGCGCGCCGCCACCTCGCCGTCGGACAGCACCAGTGTCAAGTCGGTCGGGCCCGGGTCGGCGAGGTAGAGGCACGGCTGGGGTGGCGCGGCTGGCGGTGCCGCTGGCCAGGCTGGCACCAAGTGCTCGCCCAGCGCCAGCAGCGCGCCGGCCGGCCGGCTCGGCCCACTCGCCGCCGCCGCCGGCTGCGGTCAGCAGCAGCTCCAGACCCGCGCCGGCGCAGTAACAGCCGACGCAGGCTCGTCTGCAGGCTGTAAGACGCCGACTATTAGCGGGGACTGACCGGACTACGACACCATGGAGTACACCGACGGGACGAAAAGCAAAGCGGTGGAAATCTTCAGTCCATGCGCAGTGCTTGACGTGTTTCTCTTAAACGCGTCGATGTCGAGCCCACCAAAGAGCAAATACAGCTTAGGGAAAGACTAACAGCACAACGAGCACTTGCGCACGACTGCCATGACCGGCTCACGTGGACATCAGCACCAGCGCACACGAAAACCCGGCCGGGGCGTCCCCTCACCGGACGACGATGGCGGCGGGTGGTGACGGCTGCCATGGCCTCGGCGTCGCCCAGCTCCAGCAGTGACTCGAGCACGCCCTGCCCGTACCCGGTCTCGGCCACGGCGCGCAGCGCGTCCAGCGGCAGTTCGGCCTGCGCCGCCGACAGTCGGCTGACGCACAGCCACGCCAACCGCTGCCTCACCAGCGAGCGGAAGCAGGACGGGTTCCTGCCGGCACAGGCGGCGCTGGCGCACTCACAGCCTCCTGACTCGCCGCCAGCCGGGCCGGCAACAGAGTACAACCCCTGGCGACGCGAGCGGCCCTAGCACAAAGAACTTGCCACTGACAGAGCGCGCGGCGCAGGGCCAAGTAGTTCTGGTCACTAACGGCACAGTTGGGCTGAGGCACACAGCGATGGCGCTCCTAACCATACAGCAATGCTGGCGAACGAAATGGGTCGCCGGTAACAGAGATTTCTCATGACGCCGCGGGCCACCTCAAAAATAACTGACGCGTCAAGTACCATCGCAGATTGAATTCACGCCAATCCCGTGGCTGCAGCGCAGTAGCAAAGAGCGGAGAGTGCTGCTCTACGCCTTCCCTCTCACCTGCAGAGGCGTGCTAGAATGCGCGAGGCGCGCGCCTGCGGCCGCGGCGCGTGGCGCAGGTAGTCGAGAAGTGCAGCGCAGCTGGGCGGCGCGCTCAGCTGGCGGTCGGGCCGCTCAGCCTGCGACTCGCGCGACAGCAGCAGCAGCAGCCAGGTCTCCTCGTCGCCGCCGCGCCGCCGGCCGTCCGGCGAGCCGCGGCATCGCTTGCCGGGCGGCGAGCGCGGCGGCGAGCGTGACGCACCGTCGGCAGACTCGGCGCTCGGGCACCGTTTGGCCGCTCCGCCGGGCGATTCGGCCGGCGGAGAGGCGGCTGGGGAGTACCGGGGTCCTTTCCTCGGGGCAGGCGGCGACCACCGCGACCCACCTGGCCAGACTGGAGGTGAGAACTGCGAGCCTCCGAGCGAAGCGTCCGGTGAGAGCCGGGACCCGCCGGGCATGGCGGGCGGCGAGAATTGTGAGCTTCCGGGAGAGGCTGACGGTGAGAACTCCGAGCCTCCGGATAACGCGAATGGCGAGAATCGCGAGCCGTCGGGCGAGGCTTGACGCCGAGAGACGCGAGCTGGCCAAGGACGAGGCAGGCGAGCCGGGACCGGACCCACGAGGGCGGGCTGCCATCGGGCGAGCACTGCGGCGAGCTCGCCAGGCTGTCGGTGGGACTGAACGACTTGTACAGGCGCTCGGGCGGCTCGCCGGCGGCGCGCACCTGGCGCAGGTAGGCCGCGATCTCGCGCTCCACCTGCTGGTAGGTGGGGCTGTCGGCGCGGAACGTGCCCGGCGAGCTGGGCCGCTCGGCCCGCTCGGGAGAGCCGTCGCGCCAGCCCGACACGAGCGCCTGCAGCCGGCGCACCAACACCTCCAGCAGGCCGGCCGCCTTCATCTGCGCGAAGCCCGTCCTCGTCGTACACGAACTGGAAGAGGGCGTGCAGCACGCGGCGCCGGAGCGGCTCCGGCTCGCGCTCCGAGCCGAGCAGCGACACCAGCCAGGGCAGGCAGCCCAGCGCGCGCAGCCTCGCCCGGTTCACCGACTCCCAGCAGAACAGACACAGCGCGCTGACCAGGCAGCTACGGTCTGAAACATGCACGCCGTGCGTCACACAGACGTGCTGGAGTGACGGCAGCGCCTGAATGGAACAGGTGGTGCTTCTGTCAGCCAGTGGTCAAAGCACTGACACCATGAAATTACACCTGTGAGTAGATTACAGCAGCAACATTAACTGCACAAGGACAGGCGGAGATTATGCATAGCTCATGACAGTACTTGCTTTGCCACCCTTCCGGAGAAGGGGAGGAGGGGGAGGGGGGGGGGGGGGAGGGGGGAGCAGTCGAAGGGATCCGAGAGGCGACAAACGGCTGTTGTCGGGTGCGTTGCAATCTTACGCAACATAACCGCCGTACCGTTTCGCGTCCCAACATAACTGACCATGGAACAGCGACCTTTGCTTCGCGCACATTCATAGCGTTACGTTAGTGCACCGCGCCTCTCGTTTTCGCCCCTTACTCCACGCACTAGCAAGGGAGCTAACGCTGACCACCTCCGACGCGCCGTCTTCTAAGTCAGAATCTGGTACCGTCCCGGCCGCTGGCTGCCGGACTTGGCTCGACTTCTGGTCCGCACCCTGGTCCGGCTGCTGGTCCGCACCTTGGCCCGGCTTCTCGTCTGTGCCCTGGCCTGCCTCCTGGCCCCCGCCCTGGCCTGGTCTCTCGTCCCGCCGTCGGGCGCCGTCGTACAGCATCTGGAGCAAGCCCAGCTGGCCGAGCGGCGGCCGCAGCGACGACTCGCGGGCTAGCACCAGCACCAGGCGGAGCGCGGCCGACCCCAGCTGAGGGTCCGGCGACGCGCCGGCTCCGCACAGCCGCAGCAGCGCCGGTAGCGCCTCGCTGCACTGCTGCATCTGCCGGTCACACACAAACACTGCTGCATCCGTCGGTCACACATACACCCTGCTGCATCTGTCGGTCACACACAAACACCGCTGCACCCGCCGATCACACATACACACTGCTGCATCCGTCGGTCACACACAAACACTGCTGCATCCGTCGGTCACACACAAACACTGCTGCACCCGTCGGTCACACACAAACACTGCTGCATCCGTCAGGTCACACAAATACTGCTGCACCCGTCGGTCACACACAAACGCTGCTACACCCGTCGGTCACACACAAACACTGCTGCATCCGTCGGTCACACACAAACACGGCTGCATCCGTCGGTCACACACAAACACTGCTGCATCCGTCGGTCACACACAAACACTGCTGCACCCGTCGGGCTCACACAAACACTGCTGCACCCGCCGATCACACAAACACTGCTGTATCTGTCGGTCACACACAAACACTGCTGCATCCGTCGGTCACACACAAACACTGCTGCACCCGCCGATCACACAAACACTGCTGCTGATGATGAATGATGATTTGGGGTTTTAGGGCGTATCGACTGCTGAAGGTCATGCAGCGCCCAACACACACAAACACTGCTGTATCTGTCGATCACACACAAGCACTGCTGCACCCGTCGGTCACACACAAACACTGCTTGCATCCGTCGGTCACACACAAACACTGCTGCTCCCGCCGATCACACAAACACTGCTGTATCTGTCGGTCACACACAAACACTACTGCACACGTCGATCACACGCACATTGCTGCATCTCTCGGTCATACACAAACCCTGCTGCATCTGCCGGTCACACGCAAACACGGCCGCATCTGCCGGCCAGACATAGACACCGCCGCCATTCGTCGCCGCGCCCGGGTATGACTGCTTCTGAGGGCGATGCGATAGCATACCTGCACGGGAACAAAACACTGGCGCCACAAACGGCCGCGAGCTCACCTGAGCACCGGTCTCGCGGGCGGCCTGGTCGGCGAAGTGTGCCAGCGTCTTGAGAGCTTCGCGCGCCAGCTGGCCGTTGCCGGAGCCGAGACCGGCCGCCACCGTCACCAGGCACTCGGTGCGCAGCAGCCGGCGCTGGTGGCTGCTCGTGTCCGCCATGTTCCTGCCGGAACACATCGCCCGGTCAGCAGGCGCAGGCAGTCGGCGGGTCAGTAGGGGTGGCACGCCACGACGCCGTCAGGTTCCTGCCGCGACGGACGCGCGCCGCCAGGACACACAAGTTGTTGCCGCATGTTTAGTGAACCGAACCAGGCGTGTGTGGGGAAACATTCAACACCTGCCGATTATACATGTGTCGCCTACGGCAAGACAGCATGCCCGAGCGTTACTTCGTCATAGATCCCGACAGTGATACTCCTGGATCCCAAAGGAAATCTCGGATCCCACCGCAGAGCCTTCAGTGAGGATCCGTCTACGGGAGAACGCCCCGCCTGGACGCGAGGACTCGCTGGCCGGCTTGACGCGGTGGCCAGCCCCCGGCCGCACCTCCACAGGCGGAATATAGTGATGCGTAGATGGTCGGAGGGTGGTGCCTGACCCGGCTCGGCCGCCAGCAGCGCCGCCACCACATCCAGCGTGTCCTCCTGGTGCAGCGTGCGGCACAGCGATGGCTCTTGCGCCAGGTTTGCCAGTGTCCGGCAGCCACGGTTGGCTACGTGCGGGTCGGCCACGATCTGGATCTGCAGCACAGCGAGGCCGTAGCGCCGAGGCGTCACGCGACTGCCCGACGCCACACGGACGCGTCACACGACTGCTCGACGCCGACGGACGCGTCACGCAACTGCCCGACGCTGCACGGACGCGTCACGCGACTGCCCGACGCCGCACGGACGCGTCACACGACTGCCCGACGCCGCACGGACGCGTCACATGACTGTCCGACGCCGCACGGACGTTGGCTCTCTTCCGTGGCGGCGCAGCCCACATGCGCTTGCATCGAAACAATACAAATACTCCTCAACACATCGAGCCACTATATCAACACTGGTATGCTCACACCCGATGTATTGACTTTCTTACCAATGCATGTGAGGTGCAAACAACTATGCTCATCCTTCTTCCCTCATAGCCTGTGCCGAATGCATGACTGTTGAATAAATAAAATAAATAAATGTGCCCTGTGCCGGCACCTCCCGACAGCATGCTACCACAGTTCGCAGGCCGTACCACATTGAGGACAGCGTGGAGTCCGCCGTGACGAACGAAGTGCTGTCGCCCGGCCGGTCTGGTGGTGCAGTTGCCCAGTATGCTGAGCACCAAGTTGAAGACGTCCGCCGGCTGCGGCTCGCGCAGCAGCCGCGTCAGCTCCGCCAGGCCGCCGAGCTCCACGAACCGCTCCAGGCCGGGCCTGGTGGCGATCACGCGGCGTCGCACCTCGGCCAGGGTGGCCAGCAGCTGGTCCCGGTCCGGCTGGGCAGCCAGCCGGGCAATGGCCGCCTTGGTGTCAAGCCGGCCCATGGCTGCAGGGGCGGCTGCTCAGCTCTTGCCTCACCAGGCGACGACGCTCAAGCACACCACCTGGTGGGACAAACACAGTGGTCTGGCCATGACATGTGTCAAAATGTGATTGATCTGGAAACTGACATGCATGCTGGGTGTTGAGCATGCACCAACAATGCTTGCTATGAAGGCAAGCATGAACAGCAGTCATGACATCCTTAAGCATGTTTGAGTGCTACAGCCTTACAAGAGCACATTTTCCTATGAGTAATAATATATCAAGCTCAACTGGTCTATCATACTCCTCTCACATGTACAATTTGGTGGAGTTGTTTAAATGAAGTTCTAATGTTTTTGTGACATTAGGGGTGCACTATATTTCCTAGAGGGTTCAGACCATTTTTTGCACAACCAAAAAACATGAGAGTTTAGAAAATGAGCTTGTGCTCATGACTTTTCTATGAACCTTATCAAGCCACTGCAGATCCCAAATATACCTTGCTATCAGTTGCCATGCACCATGTAGAGCTCACAAGATGTGAGCACAGCACGGGCATTCAATACTGTCACAGGTGTCTGACTGCAATATGTGTGAGATTAGGCCTGGTATAGCACAACATGCTGGCTGTGTAATAATGCTAACTGAAAACTTCTGCATAAGACCAACATCAAAAACATTGCCAGCCACAAGAAATGACACTGCCAGGACTTAAACTCCCATCCTCTTCCACAACCAAACACAAGAACAGCTATCCTTATAAAACATCCAATAAAGGGTATGAAAACTTCTATCGTGATGGCAAAATTTAGCCAAAGATGACCATACCCAAGAACATTGCATAACAATGATTATTTTCCTTTGGTAGCTCATATTTTAATTGTGAGCAATGTCATCCTGCCAAAAAACTCCATGCCTATCCTCACACTCAGTGGTGCACATGGCAAGTAACCAACTCTGTGATATTTCAAAAGGTCCTGAATGGTGTGTGGTATTTTATACTTTTAGTACCTTTTTGCACACCAATTTTTGATAAAATAAAATAAGTTTTTGGCTCCAGGCATGTCAGATAAATGAACTGCAAGTATTTGATAGGCCACATAAATTCCCACTTGTTGAATGTGCCATCTTTTGTTTATATACTATGATTTAGTTATGCTTTAGTGTGACAAACATTTCTTCATATTGTTGTTGTTACCTAACAGCTGACCTTGAATGAACTCATTTGTCACTGAATTATGATGGACTTAATATGTAGTTTTCAGTGGCATGGTTTTACTTCCCCTATTTACTAACAGCTAATATACATTCACAACAGCTCCAATGCCTCTGTCAAATACTGCAAGTAACTATATGATTGGGGGCTGACCACAGCATTGTGATCTGCCATTTTGTTCAGGGGCTGAAATAAAGTAGAGAAAAATACAATTTCAGGAGTGATTGTGCAAAAATAAAAAATGACTGGCCTGCCCTTCCATCGAAGAAGCAGGCGCGAAAAACGTCCCTAAGCAGACCACTGTCAACATTACCTAGGTTTGCCCTACTACTTCCTCTCAATTACCGACGGCACCTTGGATCGAAGGTAGCACCCTACCGCACAGCACAGTTGAATAATCATGGACTGTACAGGACTCTAAAATCCGGCCTGATGAGCCTGACTTGTTTCATTCGCGCCGTATGGAATATGGACCGAACGTCACGCGAAAAGCAATTGCAGCAGCCGGGCTAACAAGTTTGCTACACACCTTCAGCACATGGCCCTGTCTGCAGCGAATCCCCGAATTTCACACGATTCTTGCCCTATCAGCTGCTACAGCTGATCAGCTGTTTCGGTGTGGTGACGCATTGGCTCATGTGCGCCATCATGCAGAGCGATTTGCGGTCTGTACGCAGCCAATACATTGTTTTCGGCGCCAGTACAAAACCCTGTAAAGACCTGCTGTGCCTGTGTTGCATGTTGTGGCTGTCTTTGCTACGGTATGTGCGTATGATGCTCTCGGGGGCGATTTTTCTTGCTCTAAAGGATGGGCAAGTACTTGAAGAAAATCGAAAAAATAGGAGTGCGCTGAAACTTGTAGGGGGCTTTCGGCAAGTGACCTGGATGCCACCAGCTAAATTGAATGTGCACTGTCTCAAAATGGTGCAGCCTACTTGTTGTATTCTCCTTAACAGTGGCCATGCCCTCATTTTTTCACTGAAGCACAGTTTTGTCTAGAACTTTGTTTTGAGATAAGTGGCCTGGTCACTATTAATGGGGGATTATGGAACAAGGAATCTAGGAGAACAAGAAGTCACTGTTGTGTTTTATTTAGGTGGGTGGGTGCATGGTTTGATACTACCACCTCATTGCTATGTATGCAAGCAATTTATAGTGCAAGTGCTAAAGAGCAGTCACAAGTGTTTTATCAACCCTCAGAGTTATGATGAACATGAAGATTCCTCATGAGTGTGACAAGTTAAACATGCTTTGATATCCATGCCTGGAAATTCAAGCATTCTTGAATTAACCCTGCTTTTGCCATTCTTGAATTAACCCTGCTAAAGGATCTTCTTTAGTTTAATACTTGTGAACCAGGTCTGGAGTGGAAATTACTTTGTATACCTTTATGGTGCTTGCAGTGTAATACACGGCAGGACCCCAGATCAAAGCAAAATGATAAAGGAGACCAACATGCTAGTGATATGATTACTTCAGCAGGGCACTGCTGGGAAAGCTGGCAGTGGTCCTTATCACACTGGAATGAGAGCCAATCCTTCAAAATTACATGGAGTTGCATCCAGAAGTCTTTTCAGTGAAATGTTACCTTTTCATGAGTCTTATAGCCAATTGTTGTATGTTTAGGCATGAGCTTTATTTGCTGCAGTCCATTTGTTTCTCAAAATAATTGCTTTTGAATTTATTTCAGGAATATGCATCAAATTGCTGACACTCCTCTAGGTACAGAAATGTTGACTGGATCCACAGATTGAGGGAATATCACCATGATTAGTGGAAATTTTTGAGTATGTGCTGCAATCAAGCTGATTATATGAAAGTTTGATGCATTTCTTTGCAGATGTTTAAAGTTTTAGGTTTTAGGACATAAGTCTGAACATGACCAAAACGTCAGCTGTCAGTTGCTTTCTCACATGTTGTCACCATCCCATGCAGGCAAGCTGTACTAGACTGCCATTTCCCTAAACTTTGATCTTTCTAAGCTGTTCAGTTTTCTCAAGAGTTCCACATGGAGCTGTTGGAGGAACAGATCAACACAATCAAGAGCCTTCTGTTGGTGGTAAGCAGACTTTTTATTGCTGTGCCTCTTTCTTTGACACAGCAAATCTGACTGCCAATTTTGAGTTTTTATCAGTGTTAGTATCCTGCAGTTTCACTACAGATACTGGTAATTTACATCCAGTGCTTTGGTATCAACTGAAATAGAGCTTGCCACCCTCATGTTGCCTGGAGTCTGGACTGTGAGAGCTATGATAACACATTCATATTGCATCATTGGCTGCAATGGCATGTATGTTCAAGGCCTGACATGTGCAGTTTACCATGGTGTGTTGCGGGAGTGCGATGTATTGGAATGCGTTTTTGCACACTGTGGCATACTTAACTCAGAGTGCACAGTTTCATGTCCCATCAAACCACACATAACCCAAGGTTTGTGCCCCCCAGTCCATTGGACACCAGTGACCGAGCATATGCTGTTTGCCTTGCAGCCATATGAGTGCGTACCTCCGGCCGTGTTCCTGTACGGCCACCCGAGCACGGGCAAGACGACGGCTCTCACCCACGTGCTGTCCCAGTTCGCCGGCCTCAGCGCCGTGGTCAGCTGCGTGGAGTGTTACACGCCCGCGCTGCTCTTCCAGCTCGTCCTGCGCCAGCTGGCCGGTCAGTTGCTGTCGTGCGCGCGCCCCGCCTCGGGCTGCTCTGCAGCTTCGCGTCTTGCGTGTGACGGTCGGTCAGTCGCTGTGTTGTCCGCGTCCTGCGCCAGGTGGCGGGACCGTAGCGGCTGTGTCTTGCGTGTGGCGACAGCGCGGTGTGCGTCCTCTCCTGCATGATGCGACGTGGTCCGTGACCCGCACAAGGTGCCGCCTTTGCGGACTGCGTCGCGTGCTGACCTGCTCGTGGCGTGGGCGGGCTGGAAGTGGCGGCTCGGGCCGCGATGGTACTGACCAGCCGGCGGATGGCAAATACAGCTGCGGCCTGGTCCTCCTGCCGGCCAGCTGGAGTTGGACCGGCACCGGCACGACGAGCTTGACGTGACGCCTTTCTACGGGCTTTTGGGGGGAGCGGGGGGGGGGGGGGGCGAGGGAAGGAGCGGGGGAGACTGCACCCACGCTCCGGCCGGGCCGGTGTAGCTGGATACGATGCGACTGCCGCTGGCGCCCTGTGCCCGGCCTTGCCCGCCGCTTCGCTGGCTTGCTTGTCCTCGCCGACCGGCGGTGGCTTCGCCCGTGGTGCGCGCGGGGACCAGGCTCGGTCGGCCGCTCCAGAGCACCCGACCCGCCGTCCGGGCTCCTCAGACTGCTTGTCCGTAGCATACGACGCCTGAGCGTCGCGGACGGACGCGACGACTGCAGTACGCGTGCAGTCAGTGACGAAGATCATTCCCCGGTCTGCCCACGATGGCCGCTGGCCGATGTAAAAGACATGCCATGTGAGCTCGGACAATCGTGCCGGTAGACGTACAAACGCGTGCCTCTCGCGCGAGGCAAAACAGCTTTGCTCTGGATATTAGAGGTGCTATATCTGTGAATGGTGTTTCACGACGGGCAATTGTCCCCTGAAGCGCTGCGCTTGATGTGTGTGTGTGTGTGTGTGTGTGTGTGTGTGTGTGTGTGTGTGTGTGTGTGTGTGTGTGTGTGTGTGTGTGTGTGTGTGTGTGTGTGTGTGTGTGCGTGCGTGCGTGCGTGCGTGCGTGCGCGTGCGCGTGCGCGTGCGCGTGTGGGTGTGTGTAGGTGTGTGTGCGCGCGCGCGTGCGTGGTGCGTGCGTGCGTGCGTGCGTGCGTACGTGCGTGTGTGTATGTGACAAAGTACTTGATGTTCGTGTCCATTATGTGAGACAAAAGCCAAGTTCTGAAACAGAGCGAGGTTCAGCAATTAATCTTACTTTTCGGGGTAGATCGGTATGCTGTAGGTTCGTCTAATTCTGTGAGATATCTAGTGTGGTGTCTATAGTTTATCTAAAGCTGCTTTATGGCGGAGCTCCGTACGTGAACAGGCTAATCCAACCATCAACTATTACTCATAAACAAGTTATCTATGAATATGGTGACAAAGTCTTCAATGTGGTGTTTTATATGCATGAATTGGGTAGATATGTTCTGCCAAATTCGTCTTTCAGTATACTTGGATTGAATGTCACTCCAAGACGCATGATATGGCGTAAAAGAAGAGTGCGATGCAAGAGTGGTAGTAGACGAATCTGTTCTCCGAAAAAGCGGTAGCGGTTTCAGTCTTACGGATATTTCTTGTACATTTGCTTTGACCTTTGCCTGTAATTGGTCTTGTCTGATTTGTTCCGTTTTTCCTTTTCCGTGACCAGTGCAATACATTTTTGGTAAGAGCTCGAAAAAAGCATCCAAAAGCTGTAGACTAGTGGTATGCAAACCATTTCGTCTTTGATCCCAAGGACAGTGGACTGATACGCAGGTCGATCTTTGGGACCACAAACGTTACCTGGTGCCCATCATTTCAAACTTCGCGGGCATATGACGTGACATCTGCATTCCTCGCCTCATCTTGGCCGTTCGTTTCTGTGGCCGTTACCGAGTGCCACAACACACCAACGACGCTTTATATTACCACGCCGTCACACCTGCACCACGAACACATCGATGTCGAACAGCCAGAGGATGAAGCGGGCGCCGGCCACGCAGAGCACGATCCGCGCCGGCACTGTGCCCAGCACGCAGCGCTTGAACTCGGAGAGGGCGCAGGCCAGGCGGCCGGCCTGCGCCTCCGAGTCGCAGCTGCTGTCGTCGTCGCAGGCGCCGCCACCGGGGCCGGGCCAGAGCCACTCGGACCAGCGGCCGGCCGGCGTGCACGGATCGACGGGCTCGGGCTCGCCGCACGGGTCGCGCGCGCAGCAGTCGCAGCAGCCGCCCGGGCAGAGGCACGCACCGCGCCGGCCCCGCTTGCGACACCGGCCCATCGCGACACGCGGGGCGGGGAGAGAGGCGTGCGGTGGAGAGAAACTCAGCGGCGCCGGCCAGGCTGGGTGTCGGTATGTTGGACGCTGAGGTCAAGCGCTTCCTGTTGGTTTGCGAATGATTCGCTTGTTTGTTTTTTTTAGCTTCGGAGAGCTGGCCCGTCAGTCACGTGGATCTTTTCTTGTGATTGTTTTAGTTGCAGTCTCTTCGTGGCGCTTCTGTAGCGCGTCGGCGCTTGTGTTGGCAAGCTATTACGAACGTTTCGTTCCAGATACGTTGTCGATATGGTCGTTCTAAGGCAGGCTGATAATCGCCGTCAGTGACTACTGTAGGGGTTTCCTTAATACGGTTTCGTGATCGGTTAGCCGTGTTAAACACGTTTAACACCACAATTTATGCAGATGACACATTTATGGTTTGATTCCGCGGACCCAAAACGTGGTATTTTGTCTAACATCCTCCTCTTCGGGCATCGTCAACATTTCAGTACTTCTGCAGATGAAATGAGCTTTGGATGATGCCAGCGTGGTTTGAGCGATATTTGGTGTCATGGTGTTTTAGTGCATGGTTGTCTTGTTAAGTTAATCACTTTATCTCATGCTTACTTTATCTCTTGTCCTTGTCTATCTCTTTATTCCTTGTCCTATCCTATTTTTGTCTTCCCCTTTTGGTAGTATCCAGGCTAGCATCCGATATATTTTCGGTTAAGCAGCGTACCTGTTGTGTAATGCCACATGTTTTACATTCCAGGCGAGGATCAAAGGTGTGACAGTGTGAGCAGTTTTGTATCAACACTGCAGCGCATTGCGGATGAACACCCTGAAGAAAATATCGCCATTGTGAGTGGCTTTGTTTTGTCTTTGGTATTGTGCTGATGTGATTCTTCTAAACTGTGTGCCGTCTGTTCCGGGAGCTCGTTTGGTTAGTGGACCGGTGTTCGGATTCACTCACTCCTGGTGATCGCACATCTTAAGTGCTGGATGCTCATTCTCCAATGGTAGCAAACTTTTGGAAGCGTGCTTTACTCAAGCTGATGGTGATCATACCCGTGTGTTTTTACTCTGCTTTCAGGTATCCAACTACTTGACGCACTTGCTTAACAATGTAAAGTGATGTAGTCAGACAATTCGTAAAACAGACTATTGGATCCGATTCTGCTAACGTCAGATTCGAATCCGCGCAGGATATTTGTGAAACAGAGTCGGAGTCGAATACCTTCGCTTTTGACAGCCGGTGTCAGGTGTAAAATCAAGTTCAGCCTCTAAATGACTTGGAGTCCGAGGTGTAATAATCTATGCATACTGTGGGTGAGAGTCCGCTCTGCTCATCTGGAGTTGAACATAACTTTGCTACCATCCTAGACATAACTCTGCTACCATTCATCGGGTCAGCTGTGAGTGCCCACGAGCCTGCTACGCCCCACGCACCTAGTGTGCATCTGGCAAGTGTACTGCCCGTGGCTTTCGATCCCCTCTGCCCGCCGCTTGTGACCTATTCGCCCGTCCTCCTCCCGCTGTCTGTGACGTCTGCTCGGCTCTTGTGACCTCTACACCCATCCCTTTTGACCTCTACACTCGCCGCGTGTGACCTCTACCCATCGCGTGTGATCTCTACCCACCTGTTTGTGACCTGTGTGCTCGCCGTTCGGCCGGACGGTCAGGTGCTGAAGGACGCTGAGCGGCTGCGGGACCAGGACGCGTCGCTGCTGCCGACCCTGCTGCGGCTGCAGGAGCTGGCCGCCCGCCCCGTGTGCCTCGTGCTCGTCTCCAACATCATCTGGGACAAGTTCCTGACACCGGGCGGCCTGCCGCAGCCGCTGCTGGTGCATTTCCCGCAGTACAGCCGCGGTGAGGACAGTCACATCACGTGTACCCCCCCCCCTCCCCCTGCGTGTGACACCCCCCCCCCCCTCCCCCTGCGTGTGACACCCCCCTCCCCCTGCGCGTGACACCCCTTGGTTTACCGGCACGCGGGCGCGGGTTGGACTGCAGTCAGCATTCGGGGGGGGGGGGGGGGGGGGGGCGGCGAGGAGGCCTGTGTATACGACGGTCTAGGGACAGAGACTGCATAAATACGGTAATGGCCAATGGGGCGGTAGGCTCACCGGAGGAAGCCGGTTGCTGGTGGGCCAGTGACAATGGCGACATGTGCTCTGTCACGCGGGCCTCGTGCGGGACGCGCGAGTCTTCCTGGCCCTGTTCGGCGGCACGATCCCAGTGCCGTAACTCTCAGTCTATCGCCGCTCGGAGCCCGGTCGAGACTTGTGGAGGGCGTGATCTAGCGCCCCGTGCCGCCGACTGTGTGCCGACCGGTCCGCGCTGTCCCCGGGAGGAGCGGCGGTCGTGGCGGTCGTGGTGACCTGGTTCGCCGTATCGCCGCCAGGGGCGCTGCTGGAGATCCTGGCGCTGGACCGGCCGGCTGAGGTGGATGAACATTTCTACCGTGGTTTCCTCAGCCTGCTACTGGCCGTGTTTCTGGCACCCTGTCGCAACCTGCGCGAGCTGCGCTACCTGGTCAGTCTGAACGCCCGCGCCCCACATAGACCCATGCGGTGCCCGCGCAGGATATCCACAGGTGAACGGACGGCGCGAGAGTTATTGAAACTTCCCTATTAAAAGTACGTAGAATTTTACAAGTTCACAGCAAATCATTGCCATTAAAGTGTGGCGTTCAGACTACGCTGACGTCTTTGACGATTGAGCAAATGATATGGCTTCAGAAGGCGAACACATCCGCATGAGGCGCAATTGCTGCGCGCTGTTTATTTGACCACCTAACCAAACTTCTCGTGCGAATCACTGCAATTAATTATTCCGTCGCATTCGGTGCCTGTCGTAACAAATAACGTCAGTTAGAAATGCACATGAAAAGAAAACGCCTGTCGCGTATCGTCTGCTACCATCTTGTATGATGATCCATAGACACACTACATCGCACACATGGTTACATTTCGTAGTTCTCTGCCATATTTCAGTCAGTTTTGGTTTCCATGTAATCACCGGGCCGAGAGAGCTCGGCTCACGCAAGCGGGATGTGCTGCGATTTTCTCAGCCGTGCTACGCGAGTAGTTCCTCTCCTCGTATTTAGGCCACGATGCGACCACGCGCCCCGGCTCGCGTCGTCGGTCCCCCGCGAGGTGGGAGCTAACGGCATATTTAGCTCACTGTTCCGTGCTCTGTCTTGAACATCAGGTGATAACCGATCCGCATCATACTGACGAGCTGGGCGAGAGTCGAGAACATGGTACATGTGTCTCATTTTTCACTATCATGTATTGAACTGACCGAATTTGGGGGAAAACAAATGCATGTACGTGTGTTATATTCAGTATTATACATTGCATCGTGATGTTACTGGCGTGCGCCTGAGTCCGCCCCTGCTCGCGCCGCCAGTACTGCTGTACCTCGGTACGCCGCTGCCCCTACCGGCGGTGTGCTGCCTGGGGCGCCGCCCGCCGGGGTTGGCGCCGCCTGCTCGCCTCGCGTGTTAAGACAGTTACCATTTCGCAGCGCTCGTGTCTGGTCTGAATGGCCGTAGTCTGACTGAAGGGAGCGCGAGCAGATAGAACACGTAAGATTTAAATGTACGTCATGGGCGGTATGTCTCGCCCTCGTCTGCTTTGCTTCAACTAGCCTTGATAGTAAGCTGTTGTTCCGCTGATGTCTACCGATGGCGATGTGCCGTGTGTGCTCATGGCGTCGCCGGTCGACCGCAGGCCCGCGCCAACTTCGCCCGCTACAGAGAGCCGGTGCTGGCGGGGGAGGTGGACGCCGGCGACGCCCGCCGCCTCTGGCGCCACGTGGAGCCCCACCTCAAGGCCGCCCTGAAGACCGTCTACCTGCGCGAGGTCTCCAGGTGAGCCCGCCGGCACCAGGGTGGCAGGTGTGAGCTGCTGCGTTTGTGTAGGGGTGACGTCCTCCCCTCGACTGACAGCGTAACTCATAATGATGCCTGGGGTGGAATGGGCTTGGGGTTGATTCCACTTGGGTGGAATCAGTTCCGAATCCGCGTCAAGGTGAATGGAGCTAAACCCGAGTGTGATTCAAGATTACTGCTGAAAAATACAAGCCAATCAGTTTTACTCCGACGCATTTATAGCTTATAAATGCTCAAAACGTTTGCTTCGACTCTGAATCAGGGTTTTCAGGATAGAGAACTCAGTAAGCACATCCAGGCATTCGCCTCTCAGATGGTTGTAACAGGCAGCAATGTCGGCCTGATGCTATGCACGTGCATTATGATGGTCCGAAGGGCATTTAGAATCTCCGAGATGGTGGAAACCGTGTTTTTCCATTGCCTTTAGTACACATTTCCAAAATGACGCGATAGTCGATATCTTGAACGGCTGTCACCCTGCCGAAAATTGGTGATTATTTCTGTGTATTCTAGATGTCCTTTCGGTGCCACGGTTTGGCGTGTGCTTGCTTGGCTGCCAGGCAGTTGTCTTTATGGCCCACGTCAACGGCACTTCAGTTAGAGTCACTGACGGAGACGGAGTGGCATGCTATGTGAAGCAGGACATTACCACCGCGACTATGTTGGCAATCAGAAAACATATTTTCTGTTACTGAGGCTTACGCAGAATAATGGTCATGCTGGCATGCAATGTACTCTCGTATTAGCATTATTGCTAATGGCTAAATGTGCTTTGCCGTGATAAGTTATTGAGCGCGGGGTTTAATGTGGGAAACGAAATTACTTGCCTTTCTCCAATGATTTACGATTATGGTTCCGATTATGATTCTAATGGAAATTTTGGAGCCGCATGCTTGACGATTGAATTGCAAAATTACCCCAAAAATGCAAAACACTTGAAGCCCCAACCTTCGTGGACTTAAAGCGCACACAAGTGCACCACGTTTGTCACCAGAGGAAATATGAAGCACGGACGATGCCCGTCCTGCTGGTTCCTCTGGAAATGGCATTCGATCGACTGCCCGCTATGATTCCGTTTCCAGCCTCTCTACTCAGAATATTGCCCAGCTGACAAACACTTAGCACATCAGGTTTCTCACAGCCATCGCTTGCATGTCTATCTCATCACAGGCATGGAAAACATCACGCAGCTGCCCATGCATTGTGAAGCACTGCGCAGCACAGTCATCCCACATCAGCTGTGCGACAATGGTTTGGCATGCCACTACGCTTACATTGGTCAATGAATCAGCAGCCACCTCCAGCCGACGCAAGGCATACCATACATCCTATATATAGCCAAATTATGCCCAAATACGCTCATGCATCAAAGAACTAACAGCTCGTACAAACAAAGGGAATACGGAAGGTGATTATTGGTCCTCGCTGCAGCGAACGACCGCGAGACAGGTATCAGGTTTGACTGGTCAACGCTAGCAATCGAACATATGCTGCATCGCTGGCAATTTCGACTTTTTAACTGTTCAGCAGCAGGTTATCATCTGGCCGCAAATTGATATGTCCGTATTTGCCCTCTGTACACTATTGTAAGATATTGTTATCCAAGGTTTCCTCAGAAAACCCGGGCTGTGCCAACGTCCCTGACAATCGCTTTTATCCCAAACATTGGCAGCGATTGAAATCTGACAGTCAGTTGTATTGTAGCGGGGCCGGCGTCTCGTTATTGCGTGAGTAGCGAAACAGAAATCCTTGTCTGTCGACGCAGCTGAAGTGATGACGTCATTGCTGGACTAACATGGCGCGAAGGACTCCAACTCAAGCGCCGCTGGCACGGGCGATAAAGTGGTCTTTATGTTTGTGAAACGTCTGTTTGCGAAACGTCACTTCTGCCAAAACAGAACTCACAACAATTTCAGCCGACTTCCGGCGATATGATGTTTTCAAAGCACCAACTGTCGCGGCATTTTGTAAAGTTCTCACAAAGGACAATGGGAAAAGCACGGCTCTCAATGCATCGGAAGCCTTCGTGTATTATTAATTACCTTACACATAGCTGTTTCAAGAGTAGATATACAATGATTGCGCACACAGATGTTTTAAAAGTAAATATCTTGGTCCGCGGTTGATGATGTACTTAAAATAGATCAAAGACATGGTCAGATGCAGGATTATCGAACAAGCCAATCTACGTCTAAAATTGTGAGGTGATCAGGCTATGACGCCTCCGATGTCCACCCCTCCCCCCAGCTTCCCACCAACAGAAGCATTAGCCATCACCCCACAGCCTATGACGTGTCAAACTTGTTATGCAAACAGCCCAGATATTGTGGCTGCATCCGTTCGCGAGTCTGTGATTTGTCAAGTGAAGGCGATTCACTTCTGCTCCTGTCACAAAGGAATCGGATCGATTTCGCATCCGATGGAGCTGAGTGCAAACGAAACTGAACTCGAATCTCGCTCCGCTCAAAACGGAATCGATCCCGTGGTCTGCAATGGAGTCAAACACAATCCCGCTCGGTAATGTGCAATGCTAGCAATGTGTGGCACAGAAGCTCCTTTGCGAGGAAAATAGGCGGTTTTTTGTCGGTCTTCGGTCAGTTGGTGCGCCCGCTGTCCGATGCACCCAGCCGTGGGCGGTGAGGTTGCTTCGAGCCGCTTTGGCGCTCGCTTCTCGCCCTTGACTGGAGTGGGCTATAGCCCGGGGGCAGTGGTCAAGCTAAAGTTCAGGTGATGTCAGGTGATGTCAGTTGGGGTACGTTAGGCTTTCGTCTCGAAGTTTTGCCGTTGGCCCGGCATTTTGTGATCGGATGTGAGGTCACGGGACGCGTACACATCCCTTGCACAGCGCGGGTGCCGAACCCAGAAAACCAGCCAGTCGGAAAGTTGCAGCCTGAATTCTTTAAAGCAGGTTATTTCGGCACATGCCAACGTACCTGAAGTGCGTTGGATTGTGTCGGTTGCGTCCACTTATAAAGGCGGCGAAGTATGAGTTCTAAAATTGTTTTAAGTCTCGAACAGACAGTACGTTGATTGCGAGCGGCTTTGGCAGCAGTGCGACATTTCCCACTCAGACTGTCACGAAAGACTTAAAGCTTACTGGAATTGAGTTGATTGCAGTTCTGTTTCGTTTCCCACTCTTCAATTCAGTCCGACACTACACCCAGGAGTGTTGATTGATCTTTGCTTTGTTATAAGAAAATGGGCAACGTTATCAATTAAGAACATCATCGATGGTTAGTGGGGCCTTAACAGACGACGGTTATTGATCAAACCAAGCTACATGAAGGAAGCAGAAGCGCGGACGTATGAGCAGAATGCTCAGGCGTCCGCGTTTGAACAAACTTATGCTCCGAAAACGTCCGGCGCCCCAGCATTCCCAGGGCTCGCCTCTCTGGTGCTGCGGATTACGGGCGGAGGCGGGGGGTCGAGGCGTGATGCGGGGTCGAGTCGCTGCCAGTGGTCTTCCAGACATGGGATGCAGGTCCGTCCATGGTATTCGCTGGACTTGATTCATGACGAATTTTACCGAATGTGCGTTTTGACATACAGAGCAAAATACGTAACTGGGACTATTAAAATGTCGTTGTGGCAAAATTACAAGTTGTCGACGTGCCTGTTCTTGCCATGGTACATACCTTCTCCAGACCGTGTGTGCAATGAGCTTGGTTCAAATGTTCTATCCTCATTTTCCAGGCGTGGACAATATAAGCTTTTATTAATGACATCGCTAAATTTCTAGCTGCACGCCAGCCAAGAGCAAGTCACCCTTTTCACTGTGTGAAAAGCTGCATAAGAGCTATTAATGGTTACTTAGTCCGGACTAAGCCCTGGAATCCACATTCATAAATTCGTTTTTCGTCCCAGAATGGTCAAGGAAACGCCACTAGCGGTCTTGGCTAGGAATTCCAACCTAAATCGAGTCGGTTATGAAAACTGTGGCTAACGAATACGCATTGCGTAACACGACATCAACATCTCGTCCTCCTGCGCTGCGAACACTACCAGCCCGCGTCACGCAGAAGCCATTGCCGCATGTCGCAGACACGCGTTATGTGGAGGCCGCAGTACACCCTTCGCCCGCCTCCCACCGCCCTGGCCGCGGCATCACGAGAACGAGCGCAGCACGGCGGCCAGGTCGCGCGGCAGCCGGTGGCGCAGGCGGCGCACGTCCGCGCCCAGCTGCGCCATCCGCTGCTGCGTCGGCTGGCGCAGCACGTTCACCTCGGGCCAAAAGAAGCAGGGCAGGAAGCCGGCGGCGGCGTGCTCGGCCAGCAGGTCGAGCACGGCGTACGTGGAGACGAGCGTGTTGTCCCAGGCGGCCGCCGGACGCCGCTCGCACAGCCAGAACGTGCACGTCTTGAGCTGGTACGAACTGAGCAGCGGCACGTCGGCCCGACACCGCTTGCGCACGGCGCGCAGCAGCATGAGGCAGAAGCGCGCGCGCGTGGGCAGCTGGCGGGCCAGCAGCGCCTCAACTCGGGAGAAGGAGACGCGCCAGAGCCGCGGCTCGTCGGGCCGCGGTCCGACCGGCACCAGGTGCAGCCGGTCGCCGAGCCGCGCCAGCAGCGCCGCGGACGGCCAACCGGCCGGCCGCCGCCGCGCACGCAGCGTCGCCAGCCACCCAGCCGGCCACGCCACGCGCAGGCAAGCCACGAAGTCGACGGCGAACATGGCGTGCCGGCGAGTGACGGCCGGGCCGTGGCGCGAGACGGGCTCGGCGGCATCGCGCGCCACCGCCGCCGCCAGCGCGTCGCGCACGTGGCCGGCGGCTAGCGGCAGCTCGGCGCGGTGCCGGCAGCCGGACGCGCGCCGGCACGTCACGTGGAAATAGCCGGCGGTGGCGCCGCACGGCACCGCGCGGTACGCCGGAGACGGCGGCGCGGCCACGGTGCCGGTGGCGCCAACAGAGGCTGTAGTTAGTCCGGAACGGCTTGTGCTAGCTTCCGCACCGTCAGATTTCACTTGGTCACGGTTGGCCGTGTTGGAGGTGTCACTGTCACCGTAGTCTGCATTACTTCCAATGCCAGCGCTATCGCCCTCACTCGTACCCTCGTTTTTACGGTCGCTCTGACCATTATTGGCACTGCCTGCATGATCGTGACGGTGTTCCAGATCCCAAGGACTCACATATTTAAGTCCATCCCCACTCTCGTCCTCGCTCGCACTAATGACGTCATCATCGCATTCGCGGTGACCGTCGTCGTCGACATCGCCACGTGCACCCGCGCCTCCGTCACAATCGCCGCCGCCGTCGACCTCCACGACGGTCTCGGCGTCCAGCTCCAGCATGTAGTCGTAGTCAGAGTCGGGCCACGGCCTGTTCCCGAACACGTGCGTGCTGTCCAGACCGTCGGCCACGCTGCCGGAGAGGCTGACCCGCGCCACACGCAGCCTGGCGGCGCCGCAGCGCGCGCAGCGGCCAGCGGCGGCGACGGCGGCCCTGCGGCCCTCCTCCAGCGCCGCGTTCACCTGCAGCAGCGTCTGGCGCCGGCCGGGCAGCTGCGCCAGCACCAGGTTGATGAGGCTGTACTTGTGTCCGGCCCAGTGGGCGTAGGTGGCCTCGCAGAGGGCGTCGAGCCCGCCGTCGTTAAGCGAGAGCGAGCGGCGTGCGGTCGCCGGCCGGTGTTCGGTGCGCACCGAGATGCCGCTCTCCATGGGCGGCGCTGGTCGGCCGCCGGTCGGCCACAAACTGCCGGACGCGGGCGGCTGTGCTGCGGTCTGGGCCAGACCGCGAGGGGAGGGGACTGGACAGTCGGAACGTTGGGTGCGTCACGGGGAGCTCGGCGAAATCCGGTGGCGACGAGGCGGTGATTAGCGTTTGCAGCGTCAGGGCCGCGGAAACTGGCGTCACGTGCCAGTGACACTCAACCGGTCTCTCTGTAGTCGGTCTCCTGATTTTATGTGAATGTTGGTGCTACTATATCCCAAAGCTCGGCTATTAGCATAACGTGCATAATGGTACCACTACTGTTGGAAATACTGGGCAACCAAAAGGTGTATGCGGTTTTTCGAAACTTGAAGGATGCGTTCCAATAATATCGGAGTTGGAAACGAAGCGGTAAGCCTGGGAGATGAGAGCGGCGCTCACCTCGTTGTTGGATGGACACTGCGGGGATTTCCTGTCGTGATGACTAGCTGGTCTGCCCCGGTTTTCCCGGACGTCCTCCTCGACCATGAGTTGAGAGATACGCCCACTCTAACGTAAGCACGGGTGACCAGAAGCTGCAATCAGCCACAGACAATCTTGACAGTGTTGCTTCGTGGCTTTTTACCATTCAGGGATTTATATATATATATATATATATATATATATATATATTAACATACACACACGCATATATATATATATATATATATATATATTAACATACACACACGCATATATATATATATATAATATTTATTTCTTTATTTTGTATTGTTTTATATTCATTTATTATATTATTATTGTTATATATTATATGTATTTATATTATTATTGTAGATTAAATTAAATTTCATTATTGTATATTTATAAGTAATTCAATATATATGCTATATATTTAAAGTGTTTTCACACTGTCAGGTATGAAAATAACTGCCGATTCCATAGTATTGAGATTTTTAATGCGTCGTGTATTGTTCCTTGGATTTGACCCAAGTTTAAGGCTCAAGCAGCGAGCTTTAAGTTTTTAAGGACAAAAGCTGTGCATCGCTATCTTAAGAACATCTTGTATTGTAGTGAAAACAGATACTCATCTGGTTGCTTGAATGCGTTTATAATGTACCCGGAATAGAACCATTACAAAACACCTAGTTGCAATCACATGTACGATAGCTACCGCCCACCACCGAATGACTCAAAGGTTGTGGAAGAAGCTGTTTCTTTGCTTAGGGATGGGAAGAATTAATTGATAAATGCGCTCTCCCAAACTTGAGAGTGTCCTATGTCATTGCATAGCGAAAGGAAGTCAGTGTTGTCCGTCAGTTGTGTTGAAGGGAGTGTTCCACATTTCTGTGGAGTCTTGAACTGAAATAGCCCCTTAAAGATACTTTGGCACAGTTCATAGTCCTGCCCTTCTTAAGACCTAAATCCCCCTAGTTTCTGAACTCTACGCCCGCAAATATGGGGGACTATTTCGAGGAGAGTATTTCAAGGTCACCTTTGCATTCTGGCTGTCATGATAGTCATTCAAACGTTGTCATTCCATAAGCTATGCGTGATCAAGGTTAGAAAAATATAGATGTCGAGTCGTTCATATTTGGCGTTCGTGAGTACAATATCCAGATATAACGGCCGTCAACTGGCTCTCAATCAATACTGTCCAAGGTACGATGACGTAAACGAGCAATGACGTATCGCGGAGCATATCTATTAAGCAAAGAAATTGTGTATAGAGCAGCCTTTTCTACAAAGAAATATACCGATAGCTATAAGTGTGCTTATTTCATCATGTCTGATGCTTTCTTTAATATCTTCTGATGTGAAACATTTCGTTTCACTAATGTCTTACCGTGTTCGTTTCACATGTACTACAGAGGTGCCCCGTCGCGTACGTGCCTTGCCGGACGTCGTGAGAGTCGTGGTTACGCCAATATAATCTATGGAACGAAGTTTGCAGCCTCCGAGATTTCATTTGAATGAATACACTACATTGGTGGATTTGAGTTTGTGCGGTTTGTAAGGGCTGTTCATCATAAGGAAGTTAGAGATTTCTCTGTTGCGCTTATGAATGGGAATGTATTATGTGGTCGTTCTTGCCCTCTTCGTGTCGAGGGACGATTTCTGGTAGAGCCTTTGCATCTCGTTTGTAGGCAGGCGTTTTTATCTTGTCTTTGCAGACATTTGTCTTGCCTTGAGTTATTGACAAACGGCCTCGTCATGCGTCACTTGTTTCGTTTGCAGCGTCAGGATTTAGTGCGTGAACAATGTTCACCAAGATTTGTCTGATTTGTAGTAATTATGCATGTGGTCATGTCATCAGAACAAGGCACGCCTGAATACATGGCAAAGGAATGACATTCGTACCGTCGAGGACACTCACTGTCAACATCTAAGCACGTCCGTGCTGTTAGATTGCTTTCGGCACACAGTTGTTCTAACTTTGCTGTCAATATCCATCAAAAGCCACGTCAAGAAAGGGTACTGCATTTTGGACCCTTTGTTTTGTTGAAAATTTTGAGCTAGATCCCTCTTGAAATGTGTTTTTGAGACGTATGTTTTGCTCTGATTTTGTAACCTACACAAATATATCGCCCATATAGCGACATTACGTGTCATGCCTTGTATTGCTATTCTGTAGTATGTAGTATGTAGTACGTTTGTTATACATAAACACACACACGCACGCACGCACGCACGCACGCACGCACGCACGCACGACGACAGTGCATGAACACAACTGACGAATAACACCGACATGTCCAGACGTGAGATGGCAGAAATGCATTTCGGGAATCGAGATAGGGAATGCAGCTTCTCGCTGCGGCTTCATCTGCAAACAAACCAGAGCTGAGTCAGACTGACATCATGGCGCCAACTATGCATGGGCCGCAGAGAGGCGCGGGAGACCCATGCGTTATGTTGGGTCCGGACCGTATTGGCTAAGGTACAGAACGTCCAAACGTACGGAGTGCCCAAATTACAGAATATTCAAGGAACATAACGTCTAAAGTACAGAATGTCCCAATGAGAAAAAAAAACTTCTGGAAGGGCGCAGGCGTTTAATGGCTCTGCTGTCCCTTTTTTAAGTTGTTTCTCTTTTTTCTCATCTCTTAGCTGCCAAAAGTCAAAAGTTGTAGTTCAGACTTCCGACTGATTTTAAGAAGGACTATATGCCTTCACCGGCGTTCGGTTCTTTAGAGGCCTCTGCATGTGTGGGCCAACACTGGCGAGACGAGGGCTGCTGATTGACCGGCACAAGCCATGATGTTGCGCGACATTTGGAAGGCGAAGTCACGCACTGCTCATAACCTGAGCCGTTTCGTGCGAGCAGTGCACAGTGGGAGCGGATGCAGGGCCTGATGCCGGGGGCGGAGACGGCCGGGGCCGACGACACGAGGCGACTTAACACCGAGCTGCCCTTCTACTCCAAGGTGAGGCCGGTGTTAGAATGGCGCGTCGTGATGCACATTTTCCGGGAAAGGTGTTTGTTGCTGGAGAAGCGTAGCGTAGTGGGATAAGACATCTGTGTGTGCAGGACACCGGGACTTAATTCTTGCCACATATCATTTCCTACTTGCTGTGCTGTATTTCCTAAGACGGCACTTTAAACTATACACAAAATTTTGGCGGGGTGCTGTAAGATCGCGAATTAAAATTCCGTTCCTCACAGACGGGGTCGGGTGCGAGTCGTCGGCTCCGTGCGGGTCCCGTTCTACGCCTCTCAGAGCCCACCGCACGCTGGGAGGCCGGGTGACCGTCACAGCCTCGCCCTCGCTTCCCCACCGCAGTTTCTGCTGATCGCCGCCTACCTGGCGTCGTACAACCCGGCCAAGACGGACCGGCGCTTCTTCGTGCGGCGCACGGGCCGCGGCCCGGGCCGCGTGCGGCCGCGGCCGGCGGCCGGCGCGCGTGCCTCGGCCCTGCTCACCGGACCACGGACTTTCCCTCTTGACCGGCTGCTCGCCATCTTCTACGCGATCGTCGAGGACCGTGTGGCGCCCACGGCCAGCATCTACTCGCAGGTGGGGAAGGGGTGGGTGCGGGGCGTTTGGAAAGTGTATTGGACATCGTGCGTTCCAGGTGTCATTGTCGGCGACAGTCGGGTTGCAAGTGGCATGCCTTGGCAGAGTAACAAGATGCTTCTTCCCTATGCCGGCTTTACTATCGCTATCGAATTATTAGAGGCGTCTCGCCAGATTTTGCTTGATACTCACGCATTGATTTCTCTCTCGCGTAGCGTGATGACCTTAGCAGTGTCGTGTAGCCCATGTCCCTAGGTGTGCTACTAATAATGCGTTACCTTCCCTTGTCTTCGGTATTCTGTGTGCCCTGGTGTGTCTGTTGTACCTTCTGTTTGTCTGTACTCTGTGTACCTATTGCGCTGTGTTCTTACCTCGTTGACACCCTTGTATGTTTCGTATTCAGGTGTCCCTGACAAAGTCGTATTCTCACCAGTCTTCTGTATTCGCTGCGCCCAGGTGTCGTCCCTGGTAACGCTGCGAATGCTGGCGCGGATAGGGGGCAGCGACAATCTAGACATTGCCAAGTACAAGTGTCTGGTGGACTTCGACACCATTAAGTCAATTGCCAAGTGAGTCGTGCTGTGGTCGTCACGGGCAGAGGACGGGCTGGGGACTAATCGTCAGATTTCGCCCATCAGATCGCTCAGGTTTGCTCGCCACATATGTGCAGCGGGCGTACTGCGTGCGCCGGCTGCGGCCTGACGCGCGGCCTCGTGGTCCGACGCTGTGAGCACGCGGACCGTGTGGGTCTCCGGGGTTGGCCCGTCGCCAGCCGGCTGCGGCCTGACGCGCGGTCTCGTGGCCCGAGGCTGTGGAGCACGCGGGCCGCGTGGGTCCCCGAAGGGCGGCCCGGCGCCAGCCGGCTGCGACCTGACGTGCGGTCTCGTGGTTCGAGGCTGTGGAGCACGGACCGTGTGGATCTCCGGGGGACGGCCCGTCGCCAGCCGGCTGCGGCTGGTCGTATACGCTTGCGGGCGAGCGGGGGCTTTGCTACGCTACGCTAGCCGTATGACACCCAGACACTGCAGGGCGGGTCAATGCCAAGCTTACCCGCCGTCGGCCGCCGTCAGACTTGGGCTGCGCATGCGTAACACGGCTGGTCGCTGGGAAATTACGCGCGCCCTGAAGCACCTCTCCGGCACGCCAATGTTGGGGATCGGGTTACGGGAACCAGGCGGCGGGTTCTGGTAGTGTGCCCCGTCTTATGTGCCGTATGGCCATCCCATCGCGGCGTTTGAGTGGCCAAATAAGTGTCAGTCGGTCGGGCTGGCTGGTGTGGCTCATCGGCATTCGTGGCGGTTAGCCTACACCTGAAAAGGGGTTTGCCTTTTGACACGACTTTCTGTTTCAGGACGGTGCATTTGGAGGTAGAGCGATACCTGTACGACTTTGTATGAGGGTGGTCAGTAAACCTTCTGGCGGACTTCACAAACACCATCGTATGGCAATAATTTGAAGCTTTTGAGCGATTGGCGTGGATTCTCGTATGAGTCGAATGAGTGAGCTTGCGACGGCAGTGAACGCGTTTATATTGCCCCAACGTCACAGCAAGGGGAGCTCATTCTGATGAGTCAAAAAGCTGCAGGACAACATGCACAATGGACGAGAGATGGTCTTTCGACGCATCTGAGCCTCTTGGGACCAAACTGAGAACGCTGAGGCGCCCCAGACGTTCTGTGAAGTACAAACTGTGTTTTGAAGTGGGATCGGTGAAACATGCCTCCATGGACGGAATACGCGGCGCTCACTGGTTCCGTTTTTCGGTGACTGCGAGTGGCTTTTCGGCAAAAATATACAACGATACCATGATTGTCTTTGTAGGTGTGATGGTCGCAGTCCGATGGCTTTGTTGGCTCAAGAAGAGCATGTTTTCCGTCTTAGAGGATATGACACATCTCTAATGACACCCTTCGTGCTTATCGGCAATTCCCAGTCGAAAGGTGCATCTCGATGACATGCCCTCGCTACTTCGCGAAAAATGCTATGAATTGTGGGATGATCATGCCTACATAGCATCCTGATAACGGCTGATTTTGTCATCCATTAGTCAAAAGCTGTTTTGCAGTGGGTGCATTGGGAATGCAACTTTCTCTAGGCAAACTATCACGCAACGGACAGTAATAAGTTTAGTTTGCGATAGTTAACGAGCGTTTCGTGACTTGTATATCTGACTGAGGTGGTTCACCGCAGCTTGGCTATACTGAGGTGCACGATGTTAAAGGCCACGGAGTTTGACGTCTGTTTTGTTGCTTCGTGAAAATTATCCTTGGTTTTGTTGCCTAAGAGTCCGAAAACGTCGATAGCTCTAAGATGAGGTGGGTAGCACGTTTGGTTTGACCTTGAAATTTGAGCTGAGTATGTCAGGGCTTTTCGACGGACGCTAGGTCGCCCGCGGAAGGTTCTAACGCATAAGCATATACAATAATTGCCGGCAGCTAGCGCGTCGCTGAGAGCCCATCATTTCATCTTGGATGTGACTGGGGTGGTTACTTGATATGGCAAAACATGCATCATATGCGGTTTAGTCACATGGCTTTGGCAACACACTCCACTGACATTGCGATCGGATCTCGTTGCAAAATAAAGCGTCAGTTTACCCCCAACATCGCAGAATTTTGCCACTGAGGTACCCAAGTAGAGAAAGAAGTGAGGACATATCAGCTGGTCGTCGCGCGCGCGCGCGCTTGGAGCGCGTTTGCGGCAAGAGGTGTGAACCTGTTGACGTAGAGGGATCAGTGGGAAAGTGCGTGGCTGTGGGAGATGTTTGTGAATGTGGTGCGTACCTTGTGCGCGTTGGATAAGGCTATGTTGAAGGCATTGCTTTATTTACTCTGTCAGTTTCAGTGTGATTCATGTAACAACTTGGTGTGCGGTATAGGCTCCACCACTGTATCATCTGTGTAAATGATTATATATAGTTGATAGGTATAATTGTCAAGGGTGTAATAGTTACAGGTGTTGGAGTGACTTCAGTGCCTACCCATCCCCTTTCCAACTTGCTGTCAGCCCCTCCCCACCTGATCTAGCTTTGCAAGGGAAAATGGAAGGTTGATGAGAATGCTGATTAATGCTGTTTTGTACCTAACTGAGCCTCCCTCAACTGATTTTACAGAAGTATGCCCACAGTAGGAATTTGTATGGACATTAAAATGGCTTAAGCCTTCTCTTTTGGTGCTATTTTGCATGGTAAAAGCCTACCTGGATAGGTATTCAGTCTGCACAAGGTATCTAGGCAGGGACCAGGGTTTGTATCTAATATTTTTGAATCAACCGAAATGAAAAAATTGAACACCATGGGATGAACAAAACTTATATGGTTTGGGGTATGTCTGGCCTTCAGTTCTTTTGGAAAATATTATAAAGCAAGGTTAGTGTGTGCAGGTGCATGGTGGTTACACTAGAGCTCTATGTATTCACTTTTTTATTCTTTCCAAAACAACTAGCCAGGTGACAATGCAGCTCTGTTAAGAAATACTGCCCAACAATTCATTATGTGGGGCTCAAAATAATTTCTGTCCTAGAGTTGCATTGTCCCCTGTGGGCATTAGCTTAAGAAGATCTCATCCATACAGACCTTAGATGTTTAATGCACCAATAAACCATTATCACACTGAAAGCCAACCAGGCCCACAGTTCTTCATGTTGATTGCAATAGTTTTAAACCAATTGATTTTAGCTTGCCTGTTTGCTTTACAAATCACCTACAGCAATTTTATCCTTCCACAGGATCCCAGTGCACCAGTTGATAGCTGAGCTGGTGCCTCAGCATTTGCCAGGCTTGGAGTCTGTTTATAACAGCTCAGACATGTTAAAAGGCAAAAATAAGGTATGTATGCTGTGCACTATTTTAACATTATTATTCTGCAATTGCAGCTGTCATGATGACCTTTAAAAAGTGATCTCATTGGGTGTTGCACTGTCACTCATTTGTATGTTTCATTGCAATGATTTGGAATTGAGAGTTTTTTAGCATTGGATGGTGGTGTTGATATCATTATGCATGGCAAATATAATGAACATTTGTTTAGGTGCAGAGCTCAGGGCAAAAACTGATATTTTTAAAGCCAGTTGTGTTATGAATTTGGCTGTGACACCACCACTTAAACTATATGTGTTCCCATTTGGCAAACTGGACCAGAAGTGGCTGGAATGGGTTCAGCAACAAGCTACTCAGGTTGTCTATGAAGTGAGGCACCAGCCATACCCTGAGAGGCTCAAACTCCTTCAGTTGCCCTCGCTGTACTGTCATCATCATAGGGGGGACATGGCAACAGAGTACCAGCTGTTTCACGGGAGGTGTGTCGCTGTCAGAAGAGGAGTTCCTGACAAGGCACAACTCGGAGGTGACGAGAGGACACCAATGAAAGCTCAGAAAACCTCAGCTAGGACTCTCGTCCGTTGTAACTCATTCAGCGGGGTCGTCAACGATAGGAAAGCTCTTCCGCACCCGGTCGTGTCGTCGACCTTAGTTGAACAGTTCAAGTCTAGGCGTAGTATGTACTGGGCTGACATCATGTACGACGTCCCACACTGAATCTTCCCACAATTTGAGACTGTTTGGTTACCGGACCGGTAGCGTGATGAGACCGGGCCCTACAGGCCTAGTGGCCTTTTATAATTCCCGATCATCATAGGTGTCATTCATTCTTTTTTTTATTGACAAGTCTGATCCTGTCAGCTTGAGTCCATTGGGCTTGTGTTCACAGACATTATGACTAGGGGCTGACATATTCTCATACACCCCATTACAAACCAGGAGGTGCAGAGGAGAGAGAAAAGCCAATGCCATAAAATATAATTTGTATTCAGTTATGTGTATGAGGCTAATAAATTGCTTTCTTAACACATGCCCAATGGGGGTCAATTCCCCCCCCCCAAAAAAAGAAGGTTTTCTGGAATGGTTTCTGAATGGCACTGTGTGACTGCACTTAACTGTCTGTTGTAGAAAATTGAATAGCGATCATTTGGTATGAAAAATTTGATGTACCCTGTAATGTCACCGATGTACTGCAGGTCTAAGTCAGGCCATGGATTCAGCGAAGTCAATTTCCAGGGAATTGTTCAGTCTGATGCAACAGCAGAGTGTTGGATGAACCATCTGTCTTTGATATTATTTCTTTGGCAACAAAACAATTGAATGAACAAATGCCATTGACTTAGGGTCAGGTATGAAGGTCAAAACCAACCAGTTTTATTACTCTAGAACCTGCTGTATGGCATAGTTTCTGGTGTTTTTTTCAAATTTATTGATAACAGGAACCACATTACACATCTTCCATGGACTTCCTAAGGTTCGGAATAGGTTGCTGACCTAAATAACCCTGGTCAACATTTGTTTTTTGGAACAAACTGCTAAGCATACTCTCTGTCACTTACTCATTTGCAAAACTCAAAGCAGTCGTATGATTTTAGTCACCATCAACTTCAATAGGTCTAACAAGGTAGCTGGCCTTAAATAAACATGTGGTCCTTTGCTTGGAACAGATATCTAGGTTCTGGAGGCACAATAGAGACCAACTTGGGGCTTGGCCTTGTTTGACCTTTTTAAGCCGAAGATCATGACCTAGAAACCTCAAAGATTGACCCAGGTGAGGACATGTAAAGACCCATTTCCACACCGCCGCCTGATAATGCAGAAGCGGGTCAGAACTTTCCTCGTCCACGCTTCGGACGAAGGCAGATCTAGCACGGGGAAAGATGAGCGTGTTTCTTGTCATCTGATATTGCCAAATACATTTTATTCTTTGGTTTTTGGGTCATCAGCATGACCTCAAGCAGGCCACATAACATAAACAAATATTGCTGCTGACAGAAATAACATAAGAACAGCAATTATTTGGCAAGGACCAGCCTATTCTTTGCCGTCATCTGACTAGAAAATGTTCTGTTTTACATTTTTGGTCAGGGCCAATGAGTGACCTTTCAGGTTATGGAAATGCTATCACATCTCATGTATCTATTGGAACACAGAATACATAGTCCCACTATCAGTAGCTGTCATGTTGAACAATGCAGGATGACTGAAGAGACTGGTGCATTGCTATTTATCTGACCTATCTAGCTGTGCTTGTTTGCTTGTTGGCCAGTTTATTACCGATGAGGTCGAGCTAGTTCATTCGGACGAAGCATGGTTTGAATCGATATACAATGTAAGCGTTTATGAAAGGCCTTTTAGGTGTATGCATCACTTGATTTTTCCTCTATTCATGTATGCTCATTCAATTCATTCAGCTATTTCAATAATATTCAATTCATTCAGCTCAACTATTTTTGGGGTGGCTTATATCTGAAGGCCATGTGTTATGCTTGTGCCAAGCTAAGTTAGACCATGCAGTGTCACCATGTATTGCAATAATGATCATAACACAGATGGCATGCAATGAACAGCAAAGTTGAACAAGTGCAAGCAGGCCCCGCTAAATATATATTGCTTCGGGGATCACAGGCCCCCTGCTGGTGCCCTGACTTCGGCAGGTGTAAGGGACTAGCGCCCCATCGGGTCCTAGCTCCGGCAACGGGTGGACAGTGTAGCGTACAGCTGTGCATGCCGAGTGCTGGCGACTCTGCCGGTACGTGAGCTCCTGCTCCCTGTCCCGCCCGCTCCTTCCCCATCACCCGCATCCCCTTATCCCGCCCTTCCACCACTACCCATCCTCATTTTATCGGGGTCGCCGTGCCCATTCGCCCACGTATGGGTGTGGATCGAATCCAGGAGGTTGAGAGTCGCGTCGTGCGGGTCGGCCTCAGCGCGTCCCAACACTCCACGTTGGCCAGGATATCCGGGGGCGCGGGGAACCCGTTGGGTCCCATACGGGTCTGGCGGTTTGTCGCCTGCGCAGCATGCTGGGTGCCCTTCGCGGGTATCCGCTTGGGGCACCCTGCTGCGCAGGCTGACTGGAGGAGTCGAGGGGCGGCGGCGCGAACTTCGGTCAGGACGGGAGGGGCCTCCCGGTCACACCTGGCCGTGCGGGAGGCCGCGTATTGCACCGCGGTGACCGTCAATTGGAGTGCGCGGGCCGTTCCCAGTTGGGCTCCGAGGCTGGGTGGTGTGCCGCGGTGACCCTCTGCGTGTGCTGGGGGGGCCGCGTCTCCAGTTGGGCTCCGGGTCTGGGTGGTGTGCCGCGGGACCCTCTGCGTGTGCGGCCGTTCCCAGTTGGGTCCTAGCTGGGTGGTGTCTCTGCGGTGCGGGCGCGCTCTAGGGTGGGGTGCCGCGGTGACCCTCTGCGTGTGCGGGGCGTTCCCAGTTGGGCTCCTAGGTTGGGTGGTGTGCCGCGGTGACCCTCTGCGTGTGCGGGCCGTTCCCAGTTGGGCTCCTAGGTTGGGTGGTGTGCCGCGGCGACCCTCTGCGTGTGCGGGCCGTTCCCAGTTGGGCTCCTAGGTTGGGTGGGGTGCCGCGGTGACCCTCTGCGTGTGCGGGCCGTTCCCAGTTGGGCTCGGAGGTTGGGTGGGGTGCCGCGGTGACCCTCTGTTTGAGTGTACGGGCCGTTCCCAGCTGTGCTCCTAGGTTGGGTAGGGTGCCGCGGTGACCCTGGATTTGAGTTTGCGGGGCGTTCCCAGTTGGGCTCCGAGGTTGGGTGGGGTGCCACGGTGCGAATTGTTCCGCTTTGCTGTACGGATATTCAAACCCAAGACCCAAACACGGCTCTCCCGCTCCACCCGGGCGGGACGGGCGGGTATGTTATCGGTCCCGGGAGGTGGCGGGAGTCGACTCCCTCTCTCCGCAGAGCGTGGTTTCTCCAAGCGAGGGCGGCTTTCTGTCTTCGCTGTCACCTTTCCAGCGTCAGCATGGGTGCGATAGACTCGGATCGGTGCGTCGTTGTGACAGGCTGGAAGTGGAGTTAGAGAGCGGAGAATACGCGCAGCAGGCGACGCGAGCGAAGCAGTTCATTTGCAGTGTGAGGGACGTGGAGGACGAAAGAGATGTGGTCCTCCCTGTCTTTGACGATAAAAAAGCAAAACGACAGGGAAGCTCGGTTGCTACGTATTGGCGTCAATAATTCAAGGTCATGATCTTGCCAACGCTTAGAAAATCAATGTGCCTTGTGTGGCAGTACCCAGAAGCCAAGCGAGTTGAAAAATGAGCAATCGCGAATAGTGTGATCTCGACTCAAGGCATTCATTACAATTTACGCACAATGCATGTCAAAATGATGCTGATGTCGGCCATAATGAAATATTGCAAGTGTAGATACCATAGATGCTGCCAAAAGACGAATTCAATATGTTTGACTTAGTTTGACCTCTGACGACCTTTCCCTACCCCAGATGCAATGCCGCCGATCATCTCTGACATCAACATATGTAATAGTTATGAAATAAACAAATGCCGTCCCAATTTTCAACAAGTGAACTGTGTCGTCGATTTGGTGAAAACCCCGACTAACATGACCTTACCAATCGGTCAAAGACCGTTGTTCGGTCACATTAATGGCGACAAAATTATAAAAAGAGGCATATGAAGTGTCAGGTGCTAACAAATCAGCATATATTGAGTGGCCACTAAGCTGTTCAAGACAAAAAACCTTTAAGTGGGAAGTTGTCAGATTCCTCACCAGACGGGGTTTAGAATATACGCTTTAAGTGGTCACTCCCATCATTGAAACCAACCATGGTCTAGCTCCAGAGTCTGTTTTGGGCTGATGGAGAGAGAGAGTTCTGTAGGTTTCCCATCTGCTGGGATTCGTCGCCGGATTTGAGTTTTAACTGAAACATGTACGTGTGAACTATGCCTTGGGGAGCAGACGTGAAGAGAAAGTGTGTCGTCATCCATCGCAAGACAGCATAGTAGTGCATACCCTGCAGCTGTACGTAGTCCCGTGGCATGCTACCATAACATTACTAAAGTACCATGAACTATACTTTGGGGAGCAGACGTGGAAAGAACATACGCTGTCATCCATCGCAAGACAGCATAGTGGTGCATACCCTGCAGCTGTACGTAGTCCCGTGGCATACTACCATGGCATTACATAAGTATGCAGGTATTACATAAGTATGCAGGCATTCCCAGTGCGAGGAGCTTTTACTTTCAGCCGGATGTAGTCGAACCTTCCCGTTTTCATTGATGCCAACGGTCGGACGTCGGTGGCAACAGCGTCCACTGCGACGATCTTTTCTCATCGTCGTCAGCTAGCCCGGTACAGAAGCCTATGTACTTTGTCAGCGCCCCATTTGGCCCAGTGCCAGTGCTGCACATTTCCTCGGACGCATCCATGAGTTTCGGCGAGTGTCGGCGATTGCGCCTGTCGGCGGCTAGCAAGGCGTTTGCACTGTTGCAGCCTAAGATGTGTTTTAATGAACCGGTCTCATGAACTTATGATGGGTCCCCAGAAGCACGTCACTGCCTGAGTGATTCTCCTTCGGATCGCGACGCGCGGCTGGTGCGAGACGCAGCTCTCGGCTTTCCGGTCCTCTTCCTGCAGCCGAGGTCACTCAGCCGATGTCGGAAAGCTCCGCGGGCAGATCAACTCCCTACCGGTGGTACGGACGCTCGGCCGATCTGGACAGCTCCCTGCCGGTGGTGCAGACGCTCGGCCGGTCTGGCGGAGCCGTCTCACAGACACTTGGTCACGAGCGAGGTGACCGGAAAGGCGCGTCTCGAGCCTAACACCTGGTCACGGTCGATAAGCAGCGAGTTGGCCTTGACGCGCAGCTCCTCCTCCATCTTGGCCTTCTGCTGAAGCAGCTCGGCCAGCGCGCGCTCCACCTCGTCCAGCTGGCGCTGCAGCTGCTGTACGCTGCCGCCGATCTCATGTACTTCGCTCTGCAGACGCAGCATGGCGCCGTCGCGGCACAGCTCCAGGCCGGGCCGGTGCGTGCGCCGCTCCAGCCGCGTGTGCGCCACCTTGAGCGGCGGCAGCTGCGCGTCCAGCGCGCGTCGCAGCGCCAACCGATGCCGCTCCTGCTCGGCGATCTCGTGCACCAGGCGTGTCAGCTCCTGCTGGATGCGGTTGCGCGCCTCCTGCGTCTGCTGGCTGCGCGCCGCCAGCGCCTGGTTCGTGCCGCTCCACGCCTGCCAGTGCTCGCTGACGGCCGCGTGGTTGCCGGCTTCAACCTCGGCGCGCAGACTGGCGCTGGCGGCGCGCGCGCTCTGCGACCGCTGCACCAGCCGCAGCGTGCTATCGGCCCAGGAGTCGGGCGTGCTCTGCGTGCGGTCCCAGCGCTCCACGCCTGGGTACAGCGCAATGCCCGGCGACGAGTTGCTTAGTCCGTGGGCGTGCCGGTCGATGCTGAGAGCGGCGTGCTTGTCCAGCGCGTCGCGCTCGAGCCGCTGGCGCGCGTCGCGCAGCTCGTGTAGCGTGCTGTTGACGTGGTCGAGCGTGCGGCAGAGTCGTTCGCGCACGCCGGCCACCACGCCCGCCTCGCGTTCCAGGCCCACCTCCACGGGGTCGTGCACAAGGTCGGCGCCGGTGCGCAGTTGGCGCGCGCGTCGGTTCTCCTGCACCAGGCGCAGCGGCGCCTGCAGCTCGCCGTGTAGGCACTCAGCTCGGCGGCGCGCCTCCTCCAGCCGCTCCGTCTCGGCTGCGTTCTGCTCCAGCTCGTGCAGCACCTCGTGCCGCCAGCGGCCGACGTCGCCGACGCGCTCGGCCAGCCGCTGCGTGCTCTCGCGCTGCGCCTGCGTCGCCAGTCGGTCGGCGTCGCGGATGGCGCGCTGGGCGGCGCTGCGCGCCTGCTGGCCGGCCGCGCGGCGCCCGTCCGACTGGCGCAGATTGTCCTGGTTGGTCTGCTGCCAGTCGGAGAGCGTGTACCGGCTGAGTGGCGCCGCGCCCGCGTCCCACGCTCCCGCCAGCTCGTGGCTGCGTGCCTGGCCGCTGGCCGCCCTGGCGCCGGGGCAGCACTGGCAGCCACCCGACGCCAGCCCCACCGAGTGGAAGAGGGCCCCGCTCATCGCGTCCGGACGGGTCGAGCTCGACTGGCAGGCCGGGGCGCCGGCCGACCAGCCGAACTGGGACACCGCATCGACCAAACGGCTTCCTGTGCCGGCACGCTGGGGCGGGTCACGGAATTGTGGTGGAACGGACTCGAAATAGGTGGGACGCCCTCTAATAGTTTAGGACGGACGCTTGGCATGACAGCTTGCTTATTTCGACCGTCTAGATGGCGTGAGGACGTGGCGACGCGGTCTATGGCGTGCGCCCCTGGGAATGTTTGTTCTGAAATGCGTGGAACGAGGTCGCATTTCAATGCATAACAAATGGTTTCTTCCAGCAGTAGACATGTTTCCGAGTGATAGTGGGAGTATGTTTCCGAGCGATAGGTGAGACGTTTAACTGCACATCACAAATCCGTCCGCATTTGTGCAGCTTTATGTTTAACGCACATGCTTGCAATTTGCGGCTTTGTGGTCCTCAAAGTAGTGATCACAAAAGTCACGGGTATTTCTATTTCAGCTGTCCAGGTCCCAGAAGCATGTACCTTCGAAGTCCCAGAAACGCATATCATCCTTCTTCACCAAGACGCTGGTGCCCGGTCGGCCTGCCGGGCCGGTGGGGTCTGAGGCCACCCGGACCTCGCCACTCGCGTCGGCCGCCGGCACCGGCGCTCGCGCTCCGAACCTGTGCCCACGCCAGGACGGTACGGCCATCCTCGTCGACATCACCGACGAGAAGCTGTCGCCGAACTCGGCCGTGGCGGAGCAGCCGCCGGTGCGGCCGGGGCTCGGCGCCGCCGCCGAGGTCGCCTCGGTCGGCGGCGCCGCGAGGCCGGCGCTGAAGGAGAACCGTCTGACAGGCATAGCGGCCCAGCCTGCCGCCGCCGCCGGCGCCGACGCCGACGCCGACGCCGACGCCGACGCCGACGCCGGCTGGCAGGGCTTCGAGGACGGCACACGGCTGGTGGGGCGTCTGAAGAAGAGGCCAGTCCCGCCCGGCGGCGCGGGCAGCTCCCCGGACAGCAAGCGGCGGGCGGCCGGCGGCGTGCTCGCGGACGCGACGCCGGTGCCGGTGCCGGGCGCGGTGCGTGCTGAGCTGCGGGTTGTCGGGTCGGGCCGCGCCGAGCCGTGCACGGCCGCCGGTGGCCCCGACCAAACGCTGAACGACTCGCGCTGTGACGCCACGCCTGTGAACTGGCGCTCGGCCGCCGGCGGTGCCCCAGCGCCGACGCGACAGCTGACAACGCTGAAGGCAGAGGAGGGCGGTGCGGTGGCGGCGGCCGACCCAGACTCTGCCAGTGGGGCCGGTCTGGGGTCGGGGCCGACAGCGCCCGCCGCTGCTGAACGGCGTGCGCTCGCCGCTGACGACGCGGCGCTGGGGGAGCGCCCGGCGCGCGCTGTCGCCGCCGGCCCCGCGTGCCGCGGCCGCGCGCCGTCCGTGGGCGCCGGGTGCGGGCCGGAGCGCGAGGAGCGCGCCACCGCGCCCGAGGCCACGTGGCGCCCGGCGGCGGACGCTGCCGCCGCCGCCGTGGCCGCGCCGCCTGAGAGGCACCGCACGCCGGAGAGGGATGACTCGGCGCTGCTGTTCGACTCGGAGGACCTGGACTTCTCGTCGCCGTTCAAAGAGGAGGTCGCCGCCAGGTCAGTCAAAAAAGCCTCTCCGTCTGTCTGCCTGCGTCTGTGGCTTGCGCTGTCAGGATCGATGACCCCGGGAAGAAAGTAAGTTGCTGGGTGTCTTTATTTGTTTGAGCGGTCGAGTGTAACTTAAAATGGGCTTAGTTTTAGGTCCCGCCGGCGCAATCATAATGAGTGGATAAACTGCTGCTGCAGTATCCCAGTCAAAATGACATGGAGAGGTGGAAGTTTAATGCAGATATTTTAGCACCAGAACACTATTTAAGCGAAAAAAGCATCCCTTGTACGAATTTAACGCTTTCAGGACTGAGTGGGGTCGGCTTGAATTAGTTGATTGCTCCCTTGATTTATTTGTGGATGAGCTGTGTATTTGTAAATTCGCAAATGCATGCAGATTTGCGCACAAGCACAGTGCGCCTCAACAAATGCACTGATTCTTCCGCTCTGCGCCTCCGTGCGTCTTCGTCCCTAAAGCTAGATGATTCTCGAGCGTGGAGACGCATTCACGCCGCATCATTTATTGCTTACCAACGACAAAAATGCTATCTTTTCAAGGCATCGAGGCCTTTGGACAAGCTGTTGCAACCAGTGCAGGCTGGACAACACGACTTGTTATCAGACCAATCAGATTAGCCTGTCCGTGAGTGTAATGGCAAATGGTTAGAGGATCGGACTCCACGGGTAGGGGGGGGGGAGGGGGGGGGGGCCGGATTCGAATCCCGGTGGCGCTGTGGCCTCTGGGAGCGAGTATGACCAATGCGGCCGCTGGCGCTCCATAATAGGGGCGTGACGACGTGCGTCACGTTCCCTATAAAAAGGTGATGCCGGCTTCGGCTTTGCCAGGCTGCAGTTTTCCTCCAATGGCTCGAGGTCCGGCTTCGGCCTCAGCAGTTTTATTGGGAACTAAATTCGGCTTTGGTCCGGGGTCATTTTCAACGGTTTCTCCCGGTGTCAGCTTCGGCTTGTGATTTTCAACAGCTGGCTTCGGCTTGATTGCAAACATTTTGGAATTATGCCTCCGGCGTCGCCCTCATGCCATGCTGAAAGGCTGACTTCGGCTTTAGTGTGGTGATGTTGTTACTGCACTTGCAACTCAAGTCAGCAAAATCTTGTCGGTCTAGTCACCTTAATAGATAAGTGTTCGAGGCTCCTACGTACACATGGCTGAAAGTCAAAAAGTAGCCGGTCGTTACCAGGACTAATAACCACCTTACCATGGATGGAGAACTGTCCGAAGCTTTATGCATGTGCATACTGATACAGAAGACGAGGCTGCTTGTCCGGAAAATGCTCAATCCGAATAAATCTTCCACATTGTTTCAGTCTCCGCGAAACACTGATGATATTTTATTCTCCCATGCACCAATGCACTTACACTTACACAATGCACCCACACACTCACTAAGAGACGCGCGAATGGTCCTGGTCCCGTGGAACGACGTCCGTTAAATTTGGCGTCGCTTTGATGGCGTGTTCGTGGCTTGGAATTTGGGTTTGAAGCCAAAAGCCTGGCTTCGTTCCACGCCCTAGGAATATGCTCCAATTTTGGTCCAGTTTATATATCTATTGTTTGTGAGCCAACCGCTCCTGAACATTGGTGTAATGTTCCTGACACCTGAGTTCAGTTTGGTGAATGGTCAGATATTTCTAGGTTAAGAATGTGTGTGGGGTCAACATGGGCGCGGGAATTGGCCGTGGATTGCACTGGTGCCCAGTGGCGCCCTTCTCGAACAGGATTGGATAGAAATATATGTATTTAGCAGCTGCCACCTGGTGGATTTTCGAGCTTCCACGTTAATGTGCATGCAATAATCAACGAAGATAAAACAAGCAACGCAGCTAAAGGTGTCAGACTACACAGACATTGTTTATCGTGACAAATGTGATGTCAATATAGCCCCAAAGATGGCGCTGTTCGCAGCCGTGATGTGACGCAGCCAAGATGTGATGAATAACCACCGATCGGTTTTTAGCCGGCGGGATGTGATGCCGGCCGTTTTTCTTGAGAAGATCAATATTCCGACTGAATGTCTTGAGTAAACCAGTCACTTGCCACCGCCAAACTTTTTGCCGCACGTCTTTTGGGTTCAAGAATGTTCAAGGCAGAGTCAGTGTAAAAATTGGGCGTCACCAGGGTACGTGATGACCTTTCCGTACGGCATACGCCGTGTCCGTTCGCTGGTGAACAGGGGAAGAGGGCTGGGCCGCCCAGTATGGAACCCTGGACCATCCCATGTGTCACATCATGAATGCTGGTTACGCCATGTAATGACTGTGTGCTACACTGGAGCCACGCACCAAACCACGTGCCATCAATGCCACACCACCCCAGCTTCTCCCGAAAACGATTATTTTCATCGCTGTCAAACGTTTTAGGCGGGTCGCCGGTGACAAGATCAAAGCTAAATTTCGTCTTAAAACAGTCTTTTCACGAAAGGCAGCTCTGGACTACCTAAGACGTCTGAATGATCCCAGCCTCTTGCTGTGTAGTAAGTGTGGAATCGTTTCATCGTGCATATCCCAGTGATCCAAACATCTTACCTCTTGAGTAAATAAGGCAGTGACCGGTGTTCAAAGTAAGTAAAGGTGAATCAATCTAAGGATGAAAGTACAGAGGTGGAGGAGACTGTCCTGACGATATTCCTGATACTATTGCTGCTGGGCTTTAATTGGCGGATGAACATGTCAAGGTGATACCTTTTTAGGGCGCCGATAAAGACTTCGCAGCTGAGCGCGTTGTAAAGCCCCAATAACGACGCCGTGATACTTGTGTAAAGCCGTTATTCAAGAGTGGTTGCCGGCTGGCCACACTACGCTTTGAAGCTACGGCGTTTTACTGGAATTCCAGCATCGAAACCCGTGATCAAGATATATGCTGGTGGCATAACACCAACATGTGAGATGTTTCGATGTTTATGTCAAGATAGTGCGCTTTTCAATACAAATGTACCTTGTTGTGCTCAGTGCGATCAAATTGACATTTTGGAACACTTGGTAGGTAAAAGTTTAGTGAACTAAAGCTTTGTTGAGCGAAAGATGCAAACGTCATGGGAAAGCTGTATAATTGATGGACGATGGTTGTTATTTGATTATTCACGTCAGCAGACTCGTATTGGAAACGGTTCGTAATGCAGGTTATGTAACATTTTGGATTGCGATTGCAGAGGTCGGTAATGTATTTTTGCCCACATTTCTGGAAAATAAAGCTTTAGAGATGGAACGATCTACAAGTCATTAGTAATGTTCGCATGTGAAAGTGTCTCGAGCAAAATGTGTATCAAACCGCGAATTTGCAATCACAAGATCGAGCGCCCAATATTTTGCGGGTGCTGGCCGATGCACCTTGGAGCCGATTAGTGCATTATGCTGAGGTCATATAGCGTCTTGATCCGCTCGGCGATAGTCCATGTATGATAATTGTGGACCCTGTCTACGATAGTCTTTCTACGTCATCCAACCAGGTTTGAGACACGATCTACTATGCATGTGTTCGAATAGCCACAGCGATTCGCTTGCGAGCCGCACGACAAACTTGCCGGTGGGGGCGAATGGACCACCTCTTTCTTTGGCGGAGACTACTTGCCTTGTGCTATGTCACACAGTAATCGCAACTCCCACATCAGCCCACCTTTTGAGTTCATTTTCTCGCCATCACTGAACGGCTCCCCATTCAGCGGGCGGTGAACGTTGGCACGGCTGCCTGCGTGCCCGTGATTGGCTCGGTGAGGCACACATTAAACTCGATGATATTGCTCCGAACACTCGTCAGAATCCATCCCATTGGCGACGCGTGACTCCTGACTTGACTCCAGCCCCTTGGCGACGCATGACTCCTGACTTGACTCCAGCCTCTCGGCGACTGGGATTTGCAGCTTTGCCAGCACCATAAGGGTGGCACCATCACGTAAGAGTTCTTCAGTCATGTGATGGGACCGATCTCGCATGCAAGAACTCGTTACAAGTTTCTGCTGATGGGCCCAAGGGGCACGGCAGGGGCTAGCTACGCACTTGTTTGCGACGATCGCACCATACGTCCTCGCCTCCCTCACCAGCTTGTGTTTCCTTCAGGTTCCGTGGTCCAGGAACACAAACGTCACATGTTTGTGTGCCCTTCAGAGCTTTGCGCCATTGTTGCAGCCCTTCAGTATATTGTCTGTCGCTCCGATGGGGACGTACTTGTGTTGACCTTCTCACTAAGTGCACTTTTATGATCGGACCCAGCTTCCGTGGCGCGGTACCTCTTCCTGACGCGATCGGTCTGGAGGGAACTGGCGCGGTTGCGCGTTGTAGACATTTGGATCACCTCTGTGTGGATCCCCAGCCACGTTTGGTGGTGGGAAATGAACAAGCAGATATTGCAGCGAAGGCCGCCGCATGTGAAAAAAAGGCTGAGGTCTGTTCATGGACCTGCTCGAGATTTTGTATCGGTTATCTTCAGCGACGTCTGTGAAGCATGGTAGACAGCACTTCTCCAACAACTTCATTCCTTCAGGGTGACCAAGCCGCAGATTGGCGACTGGGAGTCCTCTCTCTGCAATAGCTAATTTATAGATTGCATGGAGGGCATGCTGACGTAACGCGCTCGTTTTACTTGATGGTCCAGGACATGCCGCATTATGACATATTTTGGGAACGGCCGTCTGTCCAGCATGCCCTGGCCTTTTGCCGACCCTGCCGCGCAAACCATGTTTTTCAACCACTCCCATGCTTTTCACCAGCGCCCCATCGTCAGTGGTTAGGTCAAGGACGGTCTTTTGAAGTACAATCGTCCTCGCCTTTTTAGCACACATTGACTTTACCATTGGGTGTACCCGAACTGCAGTGTAGGTGCACTGATGGCATTGTTTGTTGAGACCTGACGAACACGCAATTAATCGGTCACAGACGTGGTGTCTCGCTCCAGAGTGGGCGTAGAATTGCCTCGATATCGGCGTAGTCTGAAACACGATACATCGCCTCTGCCACGGCGAACTTTTGGGCATTGATCAGTTGCATGTGAACGTTTCAGCTGCGAGCTTGTTGCGTACCGTAATTAAGTGCCTTGATGCCCAGGAGACATTCAGGTTCACCAACGTGGATATCGCTCCCCCTTAAAAAGGCAAAGGTTTCGCCTCGTTAGCATGCTTTTTTAGGAAGTGCCGTGGCATTCGAAACTTGATCCACTCCAAGATTGTGTGCTGGGTGCGCTATGGGTTGCGGTGCAGTCCTCAGCTCTTTATGCAGTCACTTGCCACTGTAGAGGGGAAGAATGTAGCGAATCATGTTGAACTCAAGTGCTTCTCGCTAGGACGGATGTTGTTGCGGCTCCGTCGGAAGTATGTCCCGGGCTGGTGAACGCGTTGCGATGCAACTTTTGGCACTGAGCTGAATTCATGTGCATCCGACAGATAAGTTCTAAACCCCAATACATCAGGTCGCTGACCTATGACCTCGTTCTTGAAGCTCCGTAAGAATGTGAAAAGTCGGTGATGTGCGACGCATTCTTAGCTCTATACGCACCAGGTTTTCTTGACTGATGAGTTTGAATGCGTGGAAATGTGTCTCTGGCATCATCATTGCGTCTAAAATATTGGTAGGCTACGTAAGGCCACATCAAGTCAAATCTTGAAAGTTATGCCAAAGTTGCCTTCACATTCGATTTAGCACCAACCAGTGACCGAGGACTCTGCTAGATATACAGATTTATTTAAAGTCGAAGTCGCGCCATGTCTGGTCTCCAGGAGCTCCCAATGTAGTGCTAGTAAATCCTCCCTAGCGTTAACACCGTCTGTAATGTATGCAAATTGTGTGTACAAGGTCATCGCGGTTCAGCACCATGGCTGTTTCTGAGAGAGTCTCAGGTAACCTAAGATCACCTGTTGGAAGCAAGCGGTGTACGTTTTTAGTGGCGACAGCTGTATTGTGCGGACATTTGAGGCCGTCCGTAATTTACGTCACCCATGAGGGGGTGACGGGGGGAGGGGCGGCGGAGTGGAACGAAACGGAAGCGTAGCAGAGAAGGGAGGGGGGAGGGGTTTGAACAGCGTGACGTTTTGCTCAACTGTGGCTGCAGATCACGCTAAAATCTTTGGATAGAACCGAAAACCCACAAACCGGATGTCGTTGGCTTTCCCCCATGGCAAGGACCTCACCAATTCTTTCTTTTGCATCTCTAACTCATTTGGGGTCAAGCAACCGTTACTTTCTCGGACGTTGCGCTTAACACGGTGTAACCAGGGTGAGGGGTGCGTCGGCGCAACCAGTGCATGACCAGGAGAGGAAAAAGGGCTGCAAGGGGCACAAAATGCTTAACATAATTTTTGAACGGCCCCTATGTAAAACTACGTGCATGCGGCATAAGCCTAGTTCGGCCTCATTAGCACCGGTTGGAAATGTTTATGGTAAAAGGTACGGCAAATGGCCTGAGAACAAGCTATTGATCACTTACGGGGCTATCGTTCATTTTTATTTATTGTGCGGTACGTTGGGTATGGGGGGGGGGGGTGGTGAGGATTGACCCTGACACTGCGAAAAGTAGCGAGATCGACACAACATGGCACGTGGTGTGTGGAGCGGCGAGGACTGACCCTGAGACTGCGGAAGGTAGCGAGACCGACACAGTACGGCACGTTGTGTGTGGGGCGGTGAGGACTGACCCCGAGACTGCGGAAGGTAGCGAGACCGACACAGCTTGAGAGAGCAAGTGTTTCCTCGTGCGCACCTGATGCCAGGTTGTAATGCTACGATGTCTTTGTTTGCGACAATTTTGCACGTGAACCTTAGCGCGGCAAGAATCCTCCACCGTGCGAATCTTAACAGTTTCGAACTCGTTCTCTCTTACGACCGTCCCGCCACGACCATTTGTCGATGCGAATCTTTGCGCCTGACCCGGTGCCCACGAGCGTTTTTTTGCAAATGTTTGCCTTCAGAACCATGTACTTGACCATAGTTTTGCCCCAAAAGGTTGAGATCTTTCAGATATGAATGTTTTTGGTTACGATCGTTCTCCATAGGATCTTTCGAACGGGAACCTTGTCCACTACCAAACTTTATCGCGAAACTCTGTTGACATTAGTCTTTGCTTACAAAAGTTTGCCATTGCCAACCGCGGTCCAGATTCCGCATGTGTTAAAGAGTGGCGGTCCGAATATTGAAATCAAGCGCCAAGTGTGTCGCATAAGGCAATGTGTTAAATTATGTGACAATGAACACTCCATCGTGGGCTCTGTCAAGCACTGTTTCTGGAATAATAATTTCATCGCAACTATAAGTGTACGGGTCAGAAGTCAAGGACAGTATGTTTCATGTAACGCATAAGACATGGGAATAGGGCACAGGCGTCACGTTAAGTCCCGCAAAAGTTGGGTGGGCTTGCACTCTGGCGCCCGCTGCCCTTTGGCGGAGCCCATGCCCATGATAGCAGGAATAACACGAGTTGCGTACCAAGGTCCGCCAAAAAGTGTGCTTTGAGTAATATGACAAGCTATTCTCTATCGTGTTTAAAAGATTATCGAAACACGAGCCTGAGAAACGTCATCTTGCACGAGCATGCTTAATTTTGTAAGCATTTTCCCACAAGTCTTCGTTTTAGCTCAAAGGGGTGTAAGGGCCGAGCGGTTGGCGCCTGGGACTACCACGCCCGGAGCGTGGGTTCTAATCCCGGTTGTGTCGTGCCCTTGAATGCTAATACGGCCAGTGCAGTCTCTGGACCTCCACGAAAGGAGCGTTGTGATGTGTGTCGCGCTCTGTTTGAAGCAGTTTTCAGGTCACATTGAACAACTAAGTAGTCTGTAAGACGACTACACTCCTGCATTTCCAATTAAAGCTTTCAGTCGCTTTTCATAGAACAGGTAACAACAGCGCGCTGGGATGCGCTCTCCTGACGTGCGGCGTCCATCGCCGTTGTTTTCAGGGCCGCACCTCCGCTGTTGCGATCAGCTGATCCTAGCGTTCCCAAGTGGCAGCGGTTCGACCGCTACACCGTGAGTTTTGTCGAGCGGCGCATAGATGGCAGCACCATTCTGACGCTGCAGGCGACGGAGCCGAGCCAACTGGACAGGACGATAACCCTGCGCGGCTCATGGTAAACATCTCGCGTTCGCGAGCGTATCTTTTTGTCCGTGCCACCGTAGCTGAATGGTAATGACGGATGTGATCTGCCGCCTGCTGTTTTGCTTTGCCGTGCATTCCTGGGCCCGCCGATCGCTATCGAAACCATGCCAGCCGATGGTCCGGGGCGGCGGGCCAGGTGAATGACCCCGGCCAACCTAGCCGCCGGCTTCGAGAGGAACCTGCCAGCATCCCGGCCGGCCGGGCCCGACAGTAACCGGGGGTTTGGCGGCCGCGCGACACGCTCCGCCTCGGTCGCGGCTGTTCTGGGGGCCGACGGGACCGTTGTGCAGCATTCGGAGCGGACGTCGGGGCGTGCGAGAGAGCGGCGGCCTCCGCCGCCCGCCCACCAGAAGCCATGGGGGCACCGCTGGGCCGGCAGACGCTGCGCGAGCTGCTGCACTCCCGCTCGGCGCTGGCCAGCGCACTGCGCGTCTGCGTGATGGTGATGCTGGCGCAAGGCGCGCTGGTGCTGGTGCGCGCTCCGTTTGCGCAGCCCACGCGCCGCCTGGTGCAGCTCGACCTGGACGACACTGTGCGCTGGCGCAACGGCTCGCTGGTCAACACCAAGGCGCTGGCGACGCTGCTGGTGGAGGTGGCGCTGGCGCTGGCTGCCGGCGCCGAGCGCGAGCTGTCGGCGCTGGCGGCCGCCGACGTCCTGCAGACGCAGGCCGGCGCCGACGCGCTGAAGCGGCTCTCGGACGACCAGTACTGGGCGGTGCGCCGAACGCTGGCCGCCGTGGCGCCCGAGATGCCGGTGCTGAGCGACCCTGCGGTGGCGCCGTCGGAGCGCGCCGCCGCAGCCGCCCTGCCGCTGCCCGCACGCTACCGCGCCGACGTGCACAAGATCGTGCTGTTCGACCAGTGGCTGCCGGCCGACGAGCTGGTCGTGTGGGTGTCGCCGCTCGGCGACGCCGCCGACGACGTGCTCAACTACCGGCTCAAGATGTCCGCCATGTCCGTGTGCGTCAGCTACCGGGGCCGCCCGCACCTGGGCGTGGTGGCGTTCCCCTTCCGGCGCACGCTCTCCTGGGGCCTGTACGCGCGCGGCAACGACCTCGAGCTGCGCGTGGCCGACCCGATGCGCTCGTTCCCGGACCGTTTCGGCGTGGCCGTCGACCGGCGGCCGGGCAACGAGTCGCGCACGCTGGCGCGCGCAGCCTTCTTCAGCGACGCGGACGTGTACGAGCGCGGCGGTGTCAGCCACCACCTGATGGCCGTGTTGGCTGGCAACGCGGACGTCGGCTTGTGGACGGACGCCGTGCCGCGGCGCGCTCTCTGCGCCGGCCACGCCCTGCTCCGGCTGTACGGCGGCCGGGTCACCGACCTGGCCGGCGGCGAGGTCAGCTACCCGGCGAGCGGCGGCGACGCGGACGGCGGCGTGCTGGCCGCCATCTTCTACCACCGCCGCCTGCTGCAGCAGGCGATGGACGCCAGCGCCGGCAGGGAGGTTGAGAGGGTGGAGGCGTGAGGCGCCGCTCCGGACCGGCGGCAGCGGCGGCGCAGACAGACCTGATGCGGGCGCTGCGGCTGCAGGATGGCGTCGATTGGACGGTGGCGAGACTGGATGGTATCGATTGGACGGTGGCGAGACTGGATGGTGCCGATTGGACGGTGGCGGGACTGGATGGTGCAGTGGCCTCGCCCCCATCCCGGAAGCGGAAGCGCTCCCGAGCGCGAGTGTGGCGGAACGACTACTGTGTGCACGCGCTGCTGAGGGGCGTGCGCGTCGTGGTGAAGAGACAGGCGCACATTATAATGTTGGTGCGTGTGTGCATAAGTGCGTGTGTGCGTGGGAGTGAACGTAGAGAATCTCCGGACACACACGACGCACGCACACGTGCATGTACGCATGTGTGCCTGGAGATTCTCTCGATAATGAGGAGCTAGCAGAGGTTCATTGTCGTTTTTTATTGTTTTTTTTTCCAATGCACAGACGAGTGTTCGTGAGCTAGCTCCTGTTTTTCCCGCGGCGCGGGATATTGCCGACTTCTTGTGGCTGGGGTAGTGCTTTTGGCCCCTCGGCCTCCACCGCGTGGGTCGAGAAATGGTACGATCATTGTTCCGGGCATTATGTAGTATAGCCGAGTGTAATGTTCATCGTGTGTAGATGTTGTTACGGTGGCAAGCATCCCCTCGCAACATTGCATATGGCCGCCTTGCAAATATTAGGCGGAGGATATATTAAATTTCTATTAGCATGACGTTTTATTCCAGGCCCTTCATCGCGTGTAGATAATGCCACGAAACAAAAAATGCGTGAAAATCGTTATCACAGTCACAAAATTACTAAAAACACCCAATAATGAAAAGTACGCAATTACGAAACCACGTGCTTGCTAGTATTAATGGGCCTGGTTCGGAGTAACGTGTTAGCAGAGAACTCCTGAACCTAAGCATTTGCGTTGGAAAGACCATTTATAATTTAAATTGCAAATGACCTTTAACCAGTGGCTTCGGCCAGCGGCTTTTCTAACGAACTTTATTAGAGCCACTGGTCTTGATGCATTGCGATCTACGAGACTAGCAGACACGCAATGGCGGCTGGGTTGATTAGCAGCTGAGCTCTGGCGCAACGGGATAGTGTCAGTCTTGATAGTTTCCAACGCGTGGCTCTGTCGCAGTGCTGCTTGAACATTTCCACGAGGACGTGCCACGGCACCGTGCGACATTTGTGTTCGTGTTTGCTCGCGGTGTCTGTAAAGCCTCGAGCTCACTGTTTTGGCTAATGTGAGTCGATATCGTGCCAGTTGCGCCATGTAAAAGCGACGAATGTTTGCTGGACCTTGATTAGTGCGGGCTTTGCCGTAGATTTATAGTTGGCTTGTGGTGTTTTGCTGCTGTGATTAACGCTGTGCTTTGGGCGAGCGCGTCATGCTCCTGCTCCCGGCGCGTGGTGTGTATACGCGTGGGAGACGGCGTGTGACGTCATCCCGCGTGTGGATGACGGCGTGTGACGTCGCCCCGCGTGTGAGGGACGGCGTGTGACGTCACCCCACGTGTGTGGACAACCGGTATGGCCGGCAGCTTTCGCGATGAGACTGGAGCCCGCCTCGTTCCGCTCGCGGGGGTGGGTGGGGTGGGGGGGGGGGGGGGGAGAGAGAGTGTGTGTGTGCCGGTGCTGCGCTCTGGAAAAGGCAGTTTTGTCGCACATCAAATCCGTGGAGGGTGGCGGCTGCTGGCGTGCCTGTCGTGGGATGTGGCTTGTTTGTATTTTCTTTTGATTGTTTCTGTTGCCATAATAGCGTTATCATATAGCCGTTGTCCTCTACCTTTCTACGTGAATATGTCAAACGATTAGCCGACGCGTGTTGTGCTATGTATTGCATGTCATCCTTGCCTTGCCACCACTCACGTGGCTGCCACGAGCAACATTAAGTGCCATGAAGCCATTTCATATGTGCTTTGTTTGATCGTCCAGTGCTGTATTGAAATACTCTTTACGTCAATTCCCATAGATAATATCGCTTTTTAGGTGCCATTGATATGCAGTTAGCATGCGTCATTGTAACACTGTGTAAAGTGCTATTTCGTCGAAGTGAAATGGGAAATGAATGTTGGGTGCTGGACAAGCTGTTTATTGGGACTTGCATTTTGCCCGCATCGTTTTATTGTATTGATGCGTATGGATGACAGAAGCGATCAGAAAAGGGATGGCTGTCTTTTATTTTCAGACACAAATGACGCGAAGTCATAGGAGCGGCACGGGCTCATGGTGAAGTCAAAACTTTCACCCGCCCATTATGTTCTGGTTACTGTTGCAAATACTTAATGTAACATTGGGTGTTGTGGTTCGATCACCTCGCGAGACAACATATTGGCACGGGTTGGCCTGCAATTTGATCATTCTGCACGCATCTGATGTATCATCCCCATATCTCGCATCCACACGCCCGTAAAGTATCTCCGTCCGCGTGCTGTGTGGCGTCCCCTCCCACAGCACCGACACTGCAACCCCAGCTAGCCCTCGATCCCGCCGGCTGTCCCCAGGGCGGACACGCAGGTCCAGAGCGGCGACGTCGTGCACGTGCTGCACGCGCCGCATGACGTCATCGACAACCTGTCGGGCCAGCTGGTGGTGAACCCAGACCGCCTGATCTCGGGCACGTCGGTCGTGGCGGCCTGCTTCTGCGCGCGCAAGGCTGTGCTCAGTGAGCTGTTCCGCGGCCTGGAGCCGGGCAACAAGGCCATGCTGGTCGGCACGCTGGTGCACCAGCTGTTCCAGGAGGTGGGCACCATCTGCAGCGGTCCGTCAGGTTCCGCTGTCGCTCTGGGATTGGTTCCAGGAACTGTTGTAGGGGTGGGCGTGCTATGTATGGGGGTTCATGACATGAACAAAGTTGGTTACAACCTCGCACAACAGGTGTTCTAGGATGTAAGTCCATCGATGGGTGAGCATGCAATCTGGTATGGAAGGGACCATGTCAATCTTTGTTAAAGTTGCATGATTTCACGCAAGTTTGCAACGTTTTTGCAACATTTCCCGGCTGAGAGATGCTCATTCCGACATCGTCACGACCCCAAGTTTTCCCAGCGTTTTCCACCCGTTGACCAGCCAGTGTTGCTGGAGGACAAGGTGCGCTCGCTGTTGGAGGATTTAGATTCACAAACTGTCAAACAAAACTGGGGCTTGGTAGCTGTTCCGGGGGGAGTCGGTGTTCATTGACCTCCCCGGATAGTGAAGTGGGGCCCCCACCGCGGGGATGAATGATTGACGTGGCGTGTGGGCTGACGGCGCGTCCGCTGGCTCTGGCGCGGGCCACTGCCGAGCCGGGGAGGGGAGACGCGAGTGGCTGCTGCCACGCACACGCGGCCAGCTCACCATGCCCGTCCCTTGTTGCCTCGTGTGCCTGTTAACTGGCATGCTCCATTTCACGGCCTGGGCGAAATTAGTATTTAGACCGGAAGAGGGAAATGAGACGGCTTGAGTGATAGTGAGCTATCTTGGGATTCGAAAGTTGAATCCAATGAATACGGCCTACGGCTGATTCCGTAATGGTGAGGTGGGGACTTCGAGTCATTTGGAGCGTGCGTTCATCGAATACAATGAATACGGCCTACGGCTGATTCCGTAATGGTGAGGTGGGGACTTCGAGTCATTTGGAGCGTGCGTTCATCGAATACAATGAATACGGCCTACGGCTGATTCCGTAATGGTGAGGTGGGGACTTCGAGTCATTTGGAGCGTGCATTCATCATGCAAGCACATGACAGCCTTAAGCTGTATAGAACAAATCGGAGCTTGCCTGTTCCAGTCGACCGTGACCGCGCTATTACTGAAATGATTGCCACTCGGTTTTTGTCGTAATGACTGACAGCGAGCCTAGGAAGACCCTAGAAATGATCCTGTGCTGTGGATCTGCACCTCAGCTGTGGGTGCTTACACATTTGTCACGAACAGGTGCGGACTAATAAAGGTGGCGTAGGATACCGTTGTTAAGCTGTGACACTCGTCTAGCGTTTCCCGATGAGCGACCGAAGCCAGGGAGACAGGGCTCGTCCTCGTGTGTTCCGCGACACGGCCGTGCCGCTTCTGCCCATCGACCCCGATCCTGGCGTCTCGGCTATTGATCAAACGGGCTGTCTTGGGAGCGGCCGGCGCCACCCATCCGGAGCCGACATCGTCCGTTAGCGTGTCTCCTGCGCGTCACCCGTCGGCCTAATGAGGCGCCTGCCGCCGCGGCCGTGGGTGACCGGGCGACCCCGCCTGACGCTCCAGGTGATGCGGCGCCGCCTGCGCACGGCGCGTGCCATCAGCACAGCGGCGGATGACCTACTGCGGCAGGCGTCCGTGGTGGGCGCGGCCTACGGCGGCGGCCTGTCGGCGGCCGAGCTCGCCGACGAGGCGCGCCAGTTCGTGGCGCCGATCCTGGACTGGGTGCGCCGCTACGTGGAGTGGGGCCGCGACGCGGAGGTGGCGCCGCCCACGCCGCGGACGGCGGCGGGCTCTGGCGGTCCGGCGGCGAACCACGAGAGCTGGGATGGCGCGGTGACGGCGCTGAGGGACATCGAGGAGAACTATTGGTCGCCGAGGCTCGGCATCAAGGGGAAGATTGATCTAACGGTCGAGGTCAAATGCAGGAAGCGTGCCTCCCAGGTGAGACGGCGGTGGTCACCAACCCATGCCGGAATCGGGGTGTCCTTGAGCGGGATACGGGGCAGAGGAGGGACTGTGCCAATCACGTGGGACAGGCGGCAGGACGGCAGTGCAGACCTGGACGAGCTAGACCTGGTACAACAGAGAGCTGTTCTACTGAATCTGGCTGTGGCAGCACGTATGCTACGGCAGGACACGGGATGTGAGGGAACAGGACGCAAGGGACGGGGGGCAGGGGAGACTGAAAGCAGAGGACAGGACAAGGGGCAGTCCGAGACGGAGGTCTGGGCATTATAGAGGACTGGTCAGATAGGGGCAAGGGATGCACGGCCTGCGACGGAAAACGAAGGATAGGGGACAGGAAAGGCGATGTTGCAGACGATAACACGATGACGCCTGCCCTGCCTTGTCCTGTCATGTCCTGCCCTCTCTTGCCCTACCGTGCTCTATTCTGTCCTGCCCTGCCCTGCCCTGCCCTGCCCTGCCCTGCCCTGCCCTGCCCTGTCACGGCCCAGTTACAGCCTCGCGTCACAGCCCTGTGACCCGGCCGTCCGTGGCGCGTGCTGAGCAGGTACTACCGTTGGAGCTGAAGACGGGACGGCCGTCCTTCTCAGCCGAGCACCAGGGTCAGGTCACCCTTTATGCCATGATGACGTCAGAGCGGCGTGCCGACCCCGGCTCCGGCCTGCTCCTTTACCTGAGGTGAGGGGCGGCACTGGAGCGGCGAGTCGAGGGCTTGGCACAGTTGTTAATGCTGCGACTTCGACTGTGACTGTTGTCGCTTATGGGTATCGCAGTAAGCCATTTGCGTCATGGCGTTCAGAGTAAGGCCTGCGCGGCTTTCTTTCTTCTGTTCGATGGTTTTGGCAAAACAATATCGGGCTGTAGATATCAATATTTGGTGTCGAGCCACGAGAACCTTCCGTGGTTTCTCTTTCGTTTTTTATGAGAGGTGTGGTGAATGCCTTTGAGGTGGGATTGCGCTAAACTGCATTCGCGCACGTGTGGGCAGGACGAGTGTAGACCGGTGTATGAGCGAGATGCCAGTCGCACTGCACCAGCAGCGGGGCATGACTTGACCTGCCCTGCCCTGCGCTGCCGTCCAGGACGGGTGCCATGCGGGAGGTGCCGGCCGGGCAGCACCAGCAGCGGGACCTGTTGCAACTACGGAACGAGATGGTGCACCACCTGAGCCGCGCGCCAGCCTGCGACGCCGACGGCCAGCTGGAGCTGCCCCGGCTGCCGCCCGTCATCGCCAACGAACGCGCCTGCCAGCGGTGCCCGCACCTGCTCACGTGCTCCGCCTATCAGAGGTCAGGCCGTCGGCCTCGGGCGGCATCGGCAGCGTTCACATGTGCTGCGCGGCCCTGACCGTCACGGGCTGGGTTAGGGGAGGGTGGCGTGGAAAAGGTATGGCGATGACGCCCTTCCGTCTGCGCGGGCAAAAGAGCCGCACACAGCTGTTTGCTGACAGATGACTAAATCGCCCCCGAGGTCGTGACGTCATTGCTCACCAGTCTTCGTCATCGGCAGCAGCTGTTTGCGATTCCTTCGTTGCGGACGTGTGTGTGTGTTGAGTGGTTCAACTTCGTGAAGTGTAGCATTACTGGGTATCATTAGAATAGATATTTGGCTCGTTTGTGAATGCCGCGTGGATTTGTCGCTAGGTGGCTTGCCAGAACACCGATGCACGTTTGCCAGCTTTCTCAGTCCACGCTGACCGTTTGACTTACAGTATCGCCGTGCTCCATGAAACCGTTACCCGTATCAGAAAGAGCTGTGTGATCCCAGGTAGGCGATGGTGGCTGACGTCTATTCGTTTGCATTGCCCGTGACCATTGCACACCGCTCTGGGCGCCCTCCGTCCCCACCGCGTCTGACAGCGGCGCCGCCCTCTCGCCAGGCCCGGTGACGGACCGCACGCGGTGCCGGAGGTCGGCGCGCACCTGAGCGCCCTCCGTCCCCACCGCGTCTGACAGCGGCGCTGCCCTCCCGCCAGGCCCGGCGACAGACCGCACGCGGTGCCGGGGGCCGGCGCGCACCTGAGCGTCGCGCACCTGGCCTACTTCCTGCAGTGGAGCCTGCTGCTGCGGCTGGAGGCGGCGGCGGGCGCCGGCCGCGCCGCCATGAGCCGGCTGTGGTGCCAGCCGGCGGCCGAGCGGCAGGCGCGCGGCCTGGCGCTGGCCGGCTGCCGCCTGCTGCGCGCCGAGCGCGGCCCGGCCGGCTGGCGCCACTGGTTGACGCGGCCGGCCGCGGCCGCCGCCGGTCAGCTGGCCGCTGGCGATCTGGTGCTGCTGGGCACGGACCAGGAGCTGGCGCTGGTCATGGGCACGCTGGTCGAGCTGGCCGATAGCCAGGTGTGCGTGCTGCTGGACCGGTGAGCCGGGGCGGGGCGGAGTGGACCGATGAGGCGGGGCGGGGCGGAGGGGACCGGTGAGCCGGGGCGGGGCGGAAGGAGCCGCTGAGCCGGGGCGGGGCGGGGCGGGGCGGGACCGGTAAGCCGTGGCGGGGTTGAGTGGACCGATGAGCCGGGGTAGGGGTGAGTGGACCGATGAGCCGGGGCGGGGCGGAGGGGACCTGTGAGCCGGGGCGGGGCTCAGGGGACCGGTGAGGTGGCAGACAGATTCCTGGTTAGTTACGGAATGAATGGGGACGGGCTTCTGTTATGGCTAGTCTTCCAGTGGGTTCTCTGCCCGTGGTGTTTTATTTGACAAAACATAAGCAGGAAAGTTAAGCATTTCTTGGAATGGTCATTCAGATGCAGGCATGCGACACTGCTCCCTCCGCCCCCTCCCCTCCCTACAACGACAACAAATGCGTTCATAGTACTCTTCGTTTCTGGTCTGATGCGCTTGCTTTCGACAGAGTCGTGAACGGAAGTTCCTACCTAGGGCACCGCTGGGTCTTAAACACTCCCTCCGAGGAAGCAGACATGCCGTTGGACACGGGCTGTTGACCGTCGGCGCAGTGGAGCGACCCGCCCGACCTGACCTTGCCTGACCCCAGTGGCGTGCTCCTGACAGTGACCTGACCTCGCACGCGGAGGCGGTGCACAAGCTGTACCACGTGGACAAGTGCGAGTACCAGCAGGACACCAGTATGGGGGCTTACCTGAGCAGCCTCGCGCGCTTGCTGGAGCAGACGGAGCGCAGCCGGCGCGTCCGAGAGCTGCTGATCGACCGGTGCGTGTCTCCTCAGCCACGTGACGCTGGGCGCCTCCTCAGCGGTGTGACCCTGGGCGCCTCAGCTGTGTGATGCTGGGCGCCTCCCCAGCCATGTGACGCTGGGCGCCTCCTCAGCCATGTGACGCTGGGCGCCTCTCCAGCCACGCGACGCTGGGCACCTCATCTATGTGACCCTGGGCGCCTCCTCAGCCATGTGATCCTGGGGGTTGATTTGAGCGTATGTGCTGACCTCTTGGGGCTTAGGCTGTACTGTATTGCATATCAATGTGCTTATCAGAATCGTGATAGTTTTGAGTTGCTGTATTTAGTACAAAGCTACCACTTAAGCAGACCTAGTGGAACACCAATTTCACATGCGTTAAAGACCAAGTTGGCGCCATCTGCTTTCCAGTTTCATAGATGAGCGAGAAGGCATAACGAAAGTGTATAGACAAAGGGTGAATGGGATGTCTTTCTGCCCCTGACATCGACAGTCACGTAACCTTATCATCCGTGCTGATCTCGGCGCAGCCCGGTGATCCAGACGTGCGGTATCGCGCTCAGTGACGTCATCACCACACCGACAAGTCTTCTGATCGGTGATTGGCGTGACGTGAGGATCGAGCAGACTGGGCCAAGGTCGCGGCTGTGTGCACAACTGGACGTTAACAACGGGTCCCGTTTTTAAGGCATATCGGCAGGGACAGCGAAACGAACCTGTCGGGACGTGATTGTCTGGCAGGGACTGAGAATGCATGATGTCCCTGATTTCGTAGACACAGATAGGCTCTAATCATGAGATTAGTCATGTGCACAGAGATGCAGTTGCTTACTGTTGGTCCCACTGTCTAATGCCTCTCGCTGGAGGACTCTGCCCATCATCACTGCGCTCTGCGCTGGCCTGCGGCGATCACCGAACGCCGCGCCACCCCCGGCTGTGGCCGCGCGTGCCGGCAGGTTGCCGCCGGCGTTCCTGCCGGGCCTGGGCCGAGTGGTGATCACCAAGTGCCGCGCCATCCTGCGGCCGCTGAACAAGCTGCAGCAGCGCGCCCTGCTGCGCGTCATGATGGCCGAGGACTACCTGCTGATCCGCGGCATGCCCGGCACCGGTGAGCCCGGCTGGAGCTGGCCAGCACACTGGCGCACCGATGCCTTCGCGTTTGGGTGTCGCTTTTGATTGAAGGCCGTCTGCTTTGTAGGTGGCGCAAGTGCCTCGAAAATTAGTTACGGGTTGTCTGTATGAAGGTGGTGACGTTACACATGCTCCGTTTTGTCATTCGCGGGCTATGCTGATCTTACCAAAATCGACATTTTGGAGGCTAATCATACCCGTACTGTCACAGTCTGGCGTCCCTTGTCCTTGCTTTCGTATGTCGTAGCCATGTGAGCGGCCGTGTAGTAGACTGCCACACAAGAGCCGTGTGACAGTCTCGGCTCTCCCGGCTACGCTGCCCCCCCCCCCCCCCCCCATCCCTCCCTCGCCCGTGCGCTGTCGTGCGCGCGACCCTCACGGCGTCCGCGCCGGCCGCCACCAGGGAAGACGTCGACGATCGTGGCGCTGGTGCGCCTGCTGGTCACCATGGGCCGCTCGGTGCTGCTGGCCAGCTACACCCACTCGGCCGTCGACACTGTCCTGCTCAAACTCAAGGTACGGCCGGGGCGCGCCGTCCCGCGCCGTGGCCGGCGCCCCGCTGTGACGCCGCTCGTTCTGGTGGCGCAGCGTAGGACGGACGACTGCGAAACCTTCCCGGTTTAGCGTTGTAGACGTCGATCGGTTTTCCAGACGATCCCATTCACGGTACATCCACGCCTGGAGGTGCTTCTCGTCGCAGTTTGCCCTTGTTTGCCCCTCTCGATGTCTGTATGTGATCAGAGTGCGACCGGAGATTCTCATCCAGTGCGGTGTTTTTTTTTCGTCCCTGGCGTGCATCTGCCGCGATGAACGCTTAGATATCTACCGTCGTCTCAGCAGGACATCATTACCCAGTATGGGTAGTCAGTGCTTCTGCACGTTCCCGTCGTGTCCAGCTAGGGACAACAAAAAACAGCTTAGAATGATGTTCAGCATGCACGTGGCATGCATGAGTGTCAACTTGCAAGAGTCCCTGGTGCTGGTCGTTCGCGTAAGTGCTGTTCAGTTGAGTGGGTGTCGGTGGACGTGAATGGATAATATGCTGACAGACAGAGGCTTTGAGATAAGGAGACTTATCATTGACTGGCGGGAAGAACAGGCACGAGCGAGGCCGTTAGTCGTTCAGCAATCACGCCAAACAGCTCGAGGTCTTGATCACGGCAGCGCGGTGTGGCTGTTTCAGGAGACGTTCACGGACTTCGTGCGGCTGGGTCGGGCCAGCCGGGTGCATAGTGACCTGCAGGCCTTCTGCAGCGAGCGCCTCACCGACCGTCTGACCACGCCTGAGCAGCTGGCCGAGTTCTACGAGGCGCGGGTCAGTGCTGTGGGGGCGCCGCCCCTCGGACCTCTCGGATCGGGCCCCGAGGTGTGTTCCCGCAGACCACTCAGACAGCTTTGTTAGGCTTCCAGCTGTTGCCAGGGTAAACCCTTCGTCCATTCTCTGAGAGAGGATTTCGCCGGAAATAGACTGCTTTCTCGCCTTTTCCGAGGAAGCTGAAGTCTCTTGTATCACTTGTCAGTGCAGGGATAAGACCATGAATTCGTTCCGCAAATTCATAAGTGCGGCAACTCAGTCCTGGCAATGCTTTACGCTGTTGTGCCCGTGATAGACACCAGACCCTTCTATCCACCTCGAATAGCACTGGTCGTTCATTTCGTCGGCCGCTGATGTGACCTTAGGCCGTGCCTTCCCCAGCCGGTGGTGGCGACCACGTGTCTGGGCATCAACCACCCCATCTTCCAGCGGAGGAAGTTCGACATCTGCATCATTGACGAGGCCTCCCAGGTACGGCGGCAGACATGTCCTGTTCCGGGCACGCCCAGTGAGGCCGGTGGTGTCTTCTTGTCCCTTGCCCCCCCCCCCCCCATCCATCAGCATGGCCCATTATGTGTCGTAGCCGTCGTCCAAACTCGGTCAAGTACGTGGGGCGGTTTTGAAATGGTAGATTGACACGGCAAAACGGGTGAAAAACCGGGTGCAACGGTGCATGATTTTCGGGTCATTTTCATGGTTACGAATTCTGACGGCGATGCTGCAGCTTGCAGTGGAGCTCAACGTTACGGAGATGTGCTGTGTCGTTTTCATGGCTTTGCAATGCTGTGACGTGCAGCAAGGCTTTGCGTTACAGTGGTATGTCGTGTGGTTTTAATGACCATATGAAGTCTGTCATTGCGACTTTCAGCAGGGCTTATGGGCATGGGTTGTGTTTATGACTTAGTGGCTTGCCAAGATGGGTGTCGCGAACGGTGGGATCTGTTTGTCCAGTCGAGGAGCCGTCACTTAGCTTAGTCTCGGTTGTTGTTGCATGCAGTCATTGGGTCAGTTTCGTGATGTTGCATTATCGTTTGTATTGAGATACAAAGTGGCAATGCAGGGCATGCATTAGGTGGCGTCTGCTGTGTTTTATCGGCGCACAGCTCCTCTGAGTCTTGCGGCTGACAAAGGACTGCTTACTCCTGCCGGTCACGTCTGGACCTCTCGACCTCTCTGGCCTCTGGCCGCTACTGCAACGCCGTCCCTCGACTCCCGCCGCCCCGCGAAGCCAGCCGGCTGGCCCCACGTGACGGCGCGCTGCTGCGGAGGTGCGACGGCCAGCCAACTGTCCCCAGATCGTGCAGCCGGCGGCGCTGGGGCCGCTGCTGCTGGCCGGCCGGTTCGTGCTGGTCGGCGACCCGCGCCAGCTGCCGCCCGTCATCCAGAGCGCCGAGGCGCGTCGCCGCGGCATGGACGAGTCGCTCTTCTCCCGGCTCGCCGCTCCCGGCAACACGGTCGAGCTCTCCGTGCAGTACCGCATGAACAGCACCCTTATGGCCGTTGCCAACCATCTCACGTACGAGGGTCGCCTGACGTGCGGCGCGAAGCATATAGAAGAGGCGACGCTGCCGCCTGTTGGGCGGAAGGTGAGGTAGAGTCGTTTTTGCTGTTATCTAGCGTGCAAAACGTGAACCTGGCCGCAGTTCACCCATCGGCGAAACGCTGGCTGTTGGTCATGCCGTGGTCCCCTGTGGACAGCTGTCTGCCGAAAGGCAGAAATTATTCCATGGCCCCAGGACACTGAAGTCATTAATCAGAAAACGTCATGAAATGAAAACTCATCAATTGCTGGAGTTTTTTTTAGCAACACCGGTCTGCATGCCATAAACTCGCCCGTTTAGCGGTATGACCCTCGCGGAGTAGCGGATTGGAGAACGAGATGGCCGCAGTAGTCGATGCGCCCATAAAATCCCTTGACATCATCATGTCTGTCGGTTTGTGGACCGTGGCCTTTTCAGTTCCATTGTGCAATGTTTGTGGCCGTGATTTTGCATGGCTGCATAAAAATCTTCACAATTATCCCATCGTTGATGCCTAAGGGCGGAATGCAAAGTTCTCTCTGATAGTTACTGGCGGTCGTCCACGCTCTATCCATCAGCGAACCTGCGGTCGCAGTGGAGGTGGGGCTCGTCTCTCTCTCTCTCTCTCTCTCTCTCTCTCTCTCTCTCTCTCTCTCTCTCTCTCTCTCTCTCTCTCTCTCTCTCTCTTCTCTCTCTCTCTCTCTCTCTTCTCTCTCTCTCTCTCTCTCTCTCTCTCTCTTCTCTCTCTCTCTCTCTCCTCGCTCTCTCTTCTCTCTCTCTCTCTCTCTCTCTCTCTCTCTCTCTCTCTCTCTCCTCTCTCTCTCTCTCTCTCTTCTCTCTCTCTCCTCTCTCTCTCTCTCTCTCTCTCTCTCTCTCTCTCTCTCTCTCTCTCTCTCCTCTCTCTCTCTCTCTCTCTCTCTCTCTCTCTCTCTCTCTCTTCCTCTCTCTCTCCTCTCTCTCTCTCTCTCTTCTCTCTCTCTCTCTCTCGCTCTCTCGCTCTCTCGCTCTCTCGCTCTCTCGCTCTCTCGCTCTCTCGCTCTCGCTCTCTCTCTGGACAGGAGTTTCGCCTCTCACTATCTCCCATGTGTTGCCTGCGCCCCGCCTAGTCCTCCCTGCTGACGCCGCCTCTGCGCTCTCCCCGCGGCAGCCGGAGGACGCCGCGTGGCTGGACGCGGCGCTGGACCCGGCGCTAGAGCGGGCGCTGCTGCTGCTGGACACCTCCGACCTGCCCTGGCGCCACACCATCGGCTCGGAGGGCGACGTCTCCAACGACGCCGAGGCCGCGCTCGTGTCGCACATCGCCGCCACCATGGTGGAGGTGGGTGGCGGGCCGGCGCCCGCGGGCTCCGGCGAACGGTCCCCTGTGACGTCAGACGAGTAGGCGTCTGTGGGAGACAGTGTCCGGCGCGCGGAAACGTCGCGACCCGGCCCAATGGAAGTCGTGCCAGGCTTACGAACCGCTGTGTTCAAGCCGTGGTTCGGGCCAGTCTCCGCCGCATTGACTGATAGCCGTGATGGCGAGCCTGCAACGGGACAGCCACTGTAGTATCGCTATCACCTTGGCCCTAACAACGGTCGCCCTGGCTGGTGCCATGTGATTCTTGCGACCTGACCTTTGTGACCTGACCTTTGCGACCTGACTGCCGTGATGCCGCGTTGGGTGACCATGAGCATCATGACCTGCGCCGCCGTGACCCTGACCTCGTGACCCCGGCTCTGTGTTCTTAACCTAGTTGCCCTGACCTTTGACTGACATCTTGACTCTTGATCTCGTGACCCTGACCTCGTGACCCTGACCTTGAATCCCTGACTTTGTGACTCTGACCTCGTGACTGACCTCGTGATCCGTTCGGCAGCGGGGCGTGCCGGTCGACTCTATCGGTGTGATCGCGCCATACCGGGGGCAGGTGAAGCGACTGCGGGCCGCGCTGCCGGCCCAGCTTGAGGTCAACACCGTGGACCAGTACCAGGGCCGCGACAAGTCGGTCATCCTCTACTCGTGCACGCGCACCGCCCCCAAACGGATGACAGACGAGCATGTGAGTGACGCGGCGGACACGTGGTCGGCTCGGGCGCCGAAATGCATGCGATGCATGCAATGCTCACGTGTAATCATGCATCGAAGGAATATGGTACAGATAAATGAAATGTGTGCGACATGTTATGTTGTGGTATCTGTGCATTGTCTTCATGACTATGTACGCCAAAAGCATGCATGTATAGTTGCGCTCGCTGAAATGGAGCGTTAGAAGCTGGTACACTGGCTACCAGCGTTTAATCGCCGTGTCCTTTTGAAACGAGCCTGGGCTGGATGTACCTGAAGGAATGCTATGATAGTCATGTGCCCTCTCCGGTCTTACCGAGTGCTTGCCATGTCTTCCCTTTCCTAGTCCGTTTGCAACGTCTTTGTGGAGGCGTGCGGAGCGTGCTTGAGCGTCCTTCGCCTCATCTGACCATATTTCATCCCCTCGTTCCCAAGCACACGCCGTATTCACAGCGGCAGGCATCACTCGTGGGCATTTTGGGATCCTCCGTCGATGACTGTCACCTGTTTGCTCGATTAGGGCTTGATAGCACGTCACGCCGCGAACGGACTGACACCATGTGCCCGCTGTCACTGACGCTGTGTCAGCTGTTCTGTGTCAGACACCGCCGACGTCTTGTGACCTCTCCCCCCCCCCCGCCCTCTCACCTACACCGTGTCCGCTGTCCTGTGTCGAGCACTGCTGACGTCCTGTGATCCTGCATCCCCTCTCCCTGATACCGTGCCCGTGGTTCTGTGTCGGACACTGCTGACGTCCTGTGACCCTGACCCCTCCCACTGATACCGCGTCAGCTGCCCCGCGTCAGCTGCCCCCGTCAGCTGACATTGCTGACGTCATGTTACCCTGACCCCTCTCACTGATACCGCGTCAGCTGCCCTGTATCGGACACTGCTGACGTGCTGTGACCCCGTGTCCCCCTCACTGACACCGTGTCAGCTGCCGTGTTTCGGCATCCCCCGTGACCCGGCTGTCCTCCCTCACTGACGCCGTGGGGGCTGGCTGGGACCGTCAGGCGGACAGCGCAGACATCCTGTCGGACGAGCGGCGGCTGACAGTGGCCGTCACCCGCGCCCGCCACAAACTGGTGCTGGTCGGCCGGCGCGACGCGCTCGCCTCGTACGCGCCGTTCGGCCGCCTGTTCCAGCACTTGCGGCCGGCCGACGTGCTGCGACTGACCCCGGGTCAGGTCAGCGGGCTGGACCAGCCCGGCCGGTGACCCGATCGGGGGGTCTTGCGTGGCGCTGACAGGCGGCGGACGCGAGACCCACAGGACGTGTGTAAGGAAGTGGTCGTGTTGCGGTGCATGGTGCACCGGGGCGGGGGAATCACGTTTTGTTGGTGATAGCACTGAATGGGTGCTGCGGTGCCAGGATCGGTGCATTGTTGCTGACATCTTTCATTGGCACGTGGAGAAGGCTCAGTGGTGTTGCAACTAATGCTAATAATGTCCCGCTGATAACGGGGCATGCGGCCAATTTTGTAACTGCGTACCTATTTTCGAATTCGGAGCTGTAGGGACAGTCATTTTGTGGACGATTAGTGTGAATTGCATTGTCATTTTGGTACACATAAGTTTTAATAAACATGCCATGAATTTGGACATTTTGTTGTGCTTTCGAGCTGTGTGGTACAGACGCCTGTTACGCAAGTACGGTTTGGTTGAAGGCGGTGACCCTGGCAATGGATGGGACGCAAAACCCGCGTCTGGGTTACCACACTGAAATATCAACCGCCCCAATGACGGGTTACGTAGCCGGTGGGTTTGACTCGGGAGCCACATCCCCACTTAAATGTTGCTTGTCACCTCAAAGGTAAAACATTGTCAATTAAAATCAGTCTTGAGCCAAAGCTCAGTTGCGGCAGTTGTGAGTCATCGCCGGTGCATACTTTCTTTGAGATGAATTACCGTAATAGTGTTGCAGAAAAGACCCAAAGCCTTCTATGCCGGATTGTAATCCAATCTTTGGCATAATAAAAAAAATGTGCAAAGACGCGTGGACGTCAGCAATCCGAAATGTGGACCCTTAATGTTTTCGAAGTGTTTCTTGTAACGTTTCTTAGGGTGTTCCGTAATGTTTGGTTGGCAGTGTGTTGTAATGTTTGCTTAGCACCCCGGGTTACATTTCTTGGGTTTGGTCACGGGGAAATCAATGTGGGACCAGTGGTTTCTGGCAGCAGCATTATCCAGTGTACTGAAGGAGAGTAATGTGAATAGGCATATTTTACGATAGAGCTGAGACTTCATTCGTTGCTTGAACATGAATGCTACATTCCCGTGCATTGCAAATATATCACACCGGACGTACTGATGGACTTGAAAATATCCAGGCCATGGCAATCGTGTTTGCTTTAAAAATGTCCCGAGCGTGCCTAGCGAGCGAGCACTAGCGAAGGATCTCCTCCATGGTTCCACAGCCTGATGTTGGGCTTACTCCCGAATCCATTTCTAGTGTCGCTATTTTTGTGATAAACATCCTTTGACGAGTTCATGATCGGGATTAGAAATCATAGGGGCCATCGAGTTCGTTTCAGTTTTCGAGGCAGTATGACCCAAAGGTGAGTATCCCCTTTCCAGTTCAGACGTTCGCAAAACGTTGGGATAGAACGAGACTTGACGACCACTTGGGTGACAACACGTTACAGGTGTGACACAGGCCGCATGAAGCACCACCGTTCAGCGCCCTGACACCGAAAGTTCGCTTGGCCGGTGAATGACTTGGTTTTGCTGACGCGGACCCCGGCCGCTCACTGGGCATCGGTCACGTGCCCTGCAGATCGGGAGCCCAGTTAGTCTCGCGGCGTTGCTTTTCGGGTAAATCGTACCCTCGTGCGGCACCGCGTATACTATATTTCATGCCAATTTACAGCATACATCTGAACACAAACAGGCGCCACAGACATGGAAACTGTCGGCCACCTGACGCGTTTGGAAGTCCGATAACCCATGCAACAAAGCCTTCTTATCGTTGTCCACCCGAGCTTGCCGGCCGCGCCGTAGCCATTGCGGGATTGCACTGAGTCCGCCAGCCTGATCAGTGAGGCCGGTGATGAAACCGAGCCGAGCACCACGAAAGTACGCCCTCCGCCACCAAAATGGGTTGGCCTATTGCTGGCCAACCTACACGCTTCAGTTGAAGAGGACATAGCAAACTTGCATAGGACTGGACTTGGTCATGCCCTCTTATTACCAGTGTACGTGAAAACCACGGACAAAACAAGCCTCAACACATGGAAATGCTGACTTAGCATAGCAATGTAAAACGAGCGACTGACTAGTGAGCAGAGCTGCATGCATTCCCCTTGTCACCGAAACCTTCCGTGCCGCTGCGCACCGAGATCCGCCTAAACCACCGGCGCCGCCATCGAACATCGACTAGATCCCGAGTCCCCGACTCCCGAACCGCTGCCTACTGAGCGGTGGGGGCGGGCGCCGTCTCCCCGACAGGGGTGCGCAGCTCCGGACCCTCGGGCGACTGCGGCCCATGTGGTACACCGTTGACCAGGGTACCCGCTCGCGCGCCCTCAGCGCCCTCCACGTCCGCCAGATTGGCCGCCGACAGTCGCGCCACGGCCTGGTCGATGCTGTCAAGGCCACAGCCATCTACCGGTGACAATGAGAAGTTGTGGTTGAGCACGGACGTGGCGCTGCCGGCCAGCGTGGCGCTGTCCTGAAGTTCGTCATCGAGCGCGATGTAGCCGATCTGGTGGTCGCTCAGCGGGTCCACACTCGACACGGTCGACACACTGAAACACGAAAGCATGGTCAATTTGCTACAAATGGCAAGGTGTGTTTTAACAGGAGTATCTCATGTTCTTGTACTTTTCACTTATTGTTAGATGAGACACGTCCGATTTGACTGGGACTACTGGTATTCTTAAAATTCTCCTCGATAGCTTAAAATTTCGATTTGAAGTAGCTGCTCCCGCTGAAGAAATCTAATTGGACTCCCTGCTCACCACTACGGAAAAGTGCATTCCATTTCCTTTGCCTTTTTCCAACGTGTATTTTGTAATGTTTTCATGACACTCGTAACGTCTGGGTTATAAGTGCTCCGAAAACTTGAAATTATCCTTCTAAAGAAAAAAATGTGCAAACATGAGGATCTCATCCCACGAATTCAACGAAACATACTAATGCTTTAATTTCTGCAATATTGCGTTCGTCAAAGTTGCTCCTGTCGAAGGGCACTTTGGCTTTGGGAAACAGAGTACCACATGGTCTATAGTGACGCAATGACTTCAACCAATGCGCTTTTCGGTAACTGGTTTGCCGCCCCGTTGCCGTTGGTACCCCATCTAACCCATAACAGCTGACAACGGCCCTCAGCAGATTCTGCCGTCGCCATGACGACGGCGGTTACGAGAACCGCAGTGTCATGGAATCGGGATACACTCTGGCATTGCCACAAAAGGAAGCTGTGTAGTGCTCCTATAAAGCGTTGGCAGCGTGATTGGGACTCGAAAATGAGTATAATTTATCTCCCTATTATATCTTGAAGGTGCTGCAGTGGCAGTGCCCTGTGTTACCATTAAACGTAAATGGTCCTAAGGTTTCACCAGATTATGTTTTTGAAATATACCTCAAAGGTGAGACACCCGCTATAATACAATAGGGGCAGCATCATTGACGCTAGATGGTTCAAAGATTCTTTAAGTATCGCGACCTAATGAAAATCGCACTGCGACGGCGGCATCATTGATGTAAGATAATTAACAGATTACATTATCATCACGGTGCCAAAGAACCTTAGTCAACGTTAACGAACACATGAAATTCACGACTTGGATGTAATGAGTTTGTTGACAGTTGAAAAAATAGCTTTCAGGGCCTGCCATGGCATCATCGCTTTCAATGACTCATATCCATATATTCCTGGCCATTTGCCGGCTGGCCGAAACAGAATATAGCGCGACAACGGAATGCTGGTAGGCATGCAACAGGCCGGCTAACCTGGCCAGGCTCTCCGTGTCGGAGGAGTCTTCGTCGCGGCCCCTGCGAGCTTCCTGCCGCTCCCGGTAGGAGTCGCCACTGCTGCGTCGCGTCAGCTGGCGGCACGGCCGGCGGCAGGGTCACGACGGGCCGAGGGCGCGCCAGGAAACACTGGTCTCATGACACGTCACACTGGGTGGCAACTCGATACGAAAGGACATGCAGACCAGTGACCAGTCACCGTTTCTGGCTCAATTCAATTTGGCTCTACTGGCGCACACATCAAGCTCAAAATATGCTGGTATAGCCATATAGCCTCAGCAAGTGAGTGCTTCGTAAAGCGCCAGATATGTAGATGTAGTTATTCCCAGACTGCGATCGGCCTTGGCTGCCGGCTAGGTGATATCAGAAACCATATGCCCGAGGACCATATATGTAACGTACATCATATGCTTTACATATCTATATACCAGTTATTGTTTTTGCTGTCTGTTCTAAAAAGAAAACCAAGATTCACCTGCAGATATGCCGGCAAAACAACCCTCGACTGGAACACAACAAACCAAAGCCCTTTGTTAGTTGGTATCCGACAAAACGCTTCCTGGGATCTGCTACAGCCACAGCAGAGGCCAATCCGGCCAGCACGCGCTCGCGGCCTGCTCTTCACAACGACCCGAGAGCGGAGCAGGTGTCAGATGACGACACAGGTCACATCCGGTGAGCCGTACCTGCAGCTGGGAGCGCGAGCTGAGGCGGCTCGGAGGTGGGAAGAATTCGTCGTCCAGCCGCAGCGGGTCTTCTCCCATCAGCGACGGCAACGTGGAAGAGCCTGCGGACAGCATAGCTTTGAGTACTACCTCAGTGGTGTATGTGTGTCTGTCAATAGGTCAGGTAGCCAACGTAGATGATAATATAATCATTTAGAAGCTGCGCAATACCGAGCAGGATCGCACCAAGCACGAGCTTCTTGCTGGCACGTTAGCTCCCTCGCTTAAATTACGCAAACGCAAAGGCCATTCACACTGCGGTGCACAACGCGGACGGTAACATATTCACATCAACGTCCACACTGGTTAAAGGGTGCGCGGTCGAGCGCATCCACCAACGCCACGGACAGGCCATCAGCCTGTCTCCTTCCAGCGGGTGGCGATGACGGGTCCCGCGACGGCCGCTATCCGCGCGCCTGGCGGTGCCCGCCACGCCAGCCCCAGCGCCGGCCGGCGCGGCGCACCGCTGCCGCACCTGACATGTGGAAGCTGGCCGGTGGCGAGGCGCGTCGGCCGTCGGTCGGCTCCGGCGACTCGGCGCCCACGCCGGCGCCGCGCACCCCCAGGCTCTCGCAGCCGGCGGCGCCCAGACCGCGAGCCTGCCGGTACGCGCCGCCCGTCAGCGGGGCGTCGTGCGGCGGGCGCGGCGCCGGCGGGCGTGACACGTGGCGCCGGCGGGCGTGACACACGGCGCCGGCGGGCGTGACACGTGGCGCCGGCTGGCGTGACACACAGCGCCGGCTGGCGTGACACGTGGCGCCGGAGGGCGTGACCACGGCGCCGGCGGGCGTGACACAGCAGCGCCGGGGGCGTGACACAGACGGCCCCGGCGGGCGGGACACACGGCGCCGGCGGGCGTGACACACGGCGCCGGCGGGGCGTGACACGTGGCGCCGGCGGCGTGACACACAGCGCCGGCGGGCGTGACACACGGTGCCGGCGGGCGTGACACACGGCGCCGGCGGGCGTGACACACGGCGCCGGCGGGCGTGACACACGGCGCCGGCGGGCGTGACACGTGGCGCCGGCGGGCGTGACACACAGCGTCGGCGGGCGTGACACACAGCGCCGGCGGGCGTGACACACAGCGCCGGCGGGCGTGACACGCGGCGCTGGTGGGCGTGATACACGGCGCCGGCGGGCGTGACACACGGCGCTGGCGGACGTGACACGAGGCGCCGGTGGCGAGGGGCGGAGACATCGCACTGGCATCGACAGCGAACAGATGGGGAGAGGGCGGAGAGACACGCTGCACGGGCGGGGTAAAACTGGAGCCACTGCAGATGACACAGCTGGGATGGGGAGCAGTGCCTATAATGTCTGTGTGTGGCGACACACACTAGAAACTGATGGATCCGGGTAATCCGAATGCCCCAGCTGGTTAGATGACATCACGTTTCCCTTGTTTTATTCCTTTGATACTCGAGCTGCTGGGTCCAGGGTGTACCACCCCGCCACATAGCTCTCTGGCAGCAAAATGGTATTGACACCATCTATACACTAATAATTGTCATGACATTAAATTAACATCTTGACAACAAAACAGTTACAAAAGGAGTTATCTCTGCAAAGTCACTCTGTCCACGTGTGTCAGTGGTATAGAAAGACACTTAGAACGTCTGTGGTAGCAGTGACATTACTGAAACTGTGGCACATAGTAGTGTGACATTGCTGGCAAAAAAGGGGCATTACCGTGACGACCTGGTCTACGAGGCTGGTGCTGTAACCACTTGCAATAACTTGCAAAACTTTCCAAGTGCAACAAAACCTAAAGACACTGGTACAACAGTACGTAATGTATCATTACAAGAACTGGAACGATCGGATGTTTGTGGCCCTTACTTTAAATGGCTGCCAAGGTGCTAATTTTGCACACCTTAGCCCGATCGGATGCTTGTGGCCCTTACTTTCAACCACTGCCAAGGTGCTAACTTCGCACACCTTAGCCGGCACAGGCTCACCTCGTGAATACCGTTGCTGATCTCCTCCAGCCGCCGCAGCGTCTCGGCGTAGGTGATTTTGGTGGCCTGCACCTCCGCCTCCAGGTCGCTCACCTGGCGCTTCTGCATCTCCATCAGCTGGTTGAAGTGCGCCTTCATCTCGAAGTAGGGTCTGGAGGAACACCGCGGACAACGTACGGCCTCAGCCCGCCCAGGAGGACCGCACGTAACGTAAATGATCCGGCAAATGAATGCAGGGCGTTTCTTACCATTTGGAGCAATATTTGCTGCCCATTTGTCCTCGACACCCGTCGCTTTGCATGCCTCATACTGCACGCACACCAATGCAAAATCCATGCCCTAGGCCATAGTCAGTGCCCTTACCCGAGGCCACTGAAAAATTAAATAATCATGCCATGAAACACCAAACAAGCATAAAATAAACACTTCACATGGAGGTGCCCGAGCACAAATCAAGCGTAGTGCAAACTATGTAAGTTCTCTAAAGCAGGTCGCCAAACCTCCCTATGGTAAAATGAGTTAAATAAGGCATAAAAATACACTAAAATCGGGAGGCAAGATAAATGCGCGACATGCCAGCTTTTTTGTTCATTCGCGTGGCATAATGGGGAAAGACGAGTCAAGTTCACTGTTTCCGTGATTAGGGCTAAGGGATGTAATGCGGGCATGTGGGGAGAAGGGGGCAGCATGAATTGCTCCAAAATAAGACGCAATTTAGCCCATCCTCAATAAATCCTCAACAATCGTCGCCGACATTGAGATTTAACGACGCACTCAGCTACTGAGGCCATATGGCGTCGCCTGCCCCTCATCCTGGCAGAAGGGGAGGGCTCCGAGAGGAAACGAACCCGGTACCTCTGGTTTCCCAGACGTGATTAACGCAGGCGTGTTAGCCACTACGCTATCGGAACCCTCGCCCTAAGCGACTAGCGATTGTTTCTACAACGCCGGTAGTGGCGCCCGGCTGCCTCTGATGTCTTGGCCAAGGCGGCGATATTGCCCAGGTGGCTGTGCTGGAGAAGGCGGCGTGCGGATAAAGCGGGGAGCGGTCCGGGGCCGAGAGCCCCGCGGCACAGCACAGCCGGCTACTCACAGCATTTGCAGGTTCAGCGTGTTGACAAGTGTGTTCATTGAAAGCAGGCTGCGGCGTACGCCCATGCTGCTCCGGTCGGAAAGAAAACAGAACGGCGCTCTATCAACCATGCAGCGGCCATGCCTACGACCCCGCCCCCACCCACCAACGCGCGGCGTTCTACTGACAGACGGCGGGCATCAGCGGCCAACGCCGACATACAAAACAACCCGTCTACGCGAAATTGTTGCTCAACAACAAAACAAAACAAAAACCAACGCAGGGCTCTGTGCCCGAAGCGCACTACAAATGCATATTGACGCTGATGGCGGGACGGAACCCGTTGGAGCGCGCGACAGCGCAACAAAACCCGCCACGAGGCCTTCACCTTCGAAGACCGCGTGCGTGCAACAAAAACACGCCTAAATCAAAGCCGCGTCCTCTACCAGATCCGATGTGTTCGAACGCATCCGAACGCATCCGAACGTGTCCGAACGTGTCCGGACGTGTCCGACAGGTCTACCATCACGCGCCCGTCACGGACTGGTTGCGAGCCGCGGCGGTCCGCTCCGGAACGACGGCGCTCACCGCGAGCGGGCGATCTCACGCTTCAAGTCCTTCTGCAGCTGCTTGACTTCTCCCTCCATCAGCTGGTACTCGCGCGAGCACAACTCGTGGTTCTTGGCGCTCTGCGTGCGCTCGTGCTCGGCGCTGTTCACCTGCCGACCGACGCCGGGGAGTAGGGCTCCGCATAGGCGGCGCGAGATGAACACACGTACACACACGAGCGCAAGGCACGGGTCAGGCGCGGAAGGACATCCTTCATCTTGACGCTAGACGATCAAATTTATCGAATGACGATCGGCGGAAAAAAAGACTGCTGGTAGGATTTGGCCCCGAGGTATGTGCATAGTTGAGGAATAAGCCAGAATTGCACAGCCATTAACAACTGTGAAAATTGATTTGGTGACCGTCTCGACATGGGTGTCAAGGAACGGTCATTGGCTGACTGCATAGTACACACAGTGGCTTTCTTTTCTAGCAGCAATTCTTTCACACAGTGCCGCAAGTCTGGCATGGGTTTTCATCCCTCTCTTTACAGTAGGTTTCTCTTTATCTAGCATCTTTATGATCCTACAGCTTGTAACTGACTACCAATGTTTTTTTTTCTGCCGAAGACGTTACCCTCCTCTGACACACACCGAGACAAGATGAATCCAACACCCACCTTCTCAGTGGAGTGGTTGAGCATCTCCTGCCAGGACTGGTCGAACGTGTGTCCCTGAGTGGTGAGCCCCTCCTCAGCCAGGGCCACCAGCTCCTTGGCCGCCTGGTGGTGCGAGCTGGCCCGCTCGTAACGCACGGCCGCATCATGCGTCCGCTGCAGCGCCTGGGGGTACACATCATCAGGTCAGCACGAGCCAACCACCATGGCCACATCATGGGTCTGCTGCAACACGTGGGGTGCACATCATCAGGCCGGCACAAGCCAACCGCCGCAGCCACATCATGGCTCCGCCGCAACGCCTGGGGGTGTACATTATCATGTCAGCACGAGCCAACCGCCACGGCCGCATCATCAGTCCGCTGCAGTGCCTAGGGTGCATGCCAGGTCAGCACGAGCCAACCGCCACGGCCGCATCATCAGTCCGCTGCAGTGCCTAGGGTGCATGCCAGGTCAGCACGAGCCAACCGCCACGGCCGCATCATCAGTCTGCTGTAGTGCCTAGGGTGCATGCCAGGTCAGCACGAGCCAACCGCCACGGCCGCATCATCAGTCTGCTGCAGTGCCTAGGGTGCACGCCAGGTCAGCACGAGCCAACTGCCACGGCTGCGTCACAGGTCCGCAGCGGTGCAAGGGGTGCACACCATCGGGTCAGCATGAGCCAGCCACCACAGCTGTGTCAAGGGTCCATTGCAGTGCCTGGGGAAGCTCATGCTATAAGCCTGATTAAGTTAAATGAGCCATTAAACAACTCAACACACTCATGCTTTTTTTTACTGATTCAATAACAATGCATTACTTCGCCCTTTACCTGGAAAAACTGCCCATTCCTGAAATTCTGAAGATTGTGGCTCAAACTTGGTGCTTACCTGTTTGGCTTTTATCCTTGCTTCATAGTAAGGTCTTGATTTTTCCACACAGGAACCAAGTTTTTTAGCAAGGGCATCAATCTTCTGTGTGGACTCAATTAACAGAGATCTGAATTGTGCACGTGCATCCTGGAAGGATAAATATTGGTCATATTGAGAAGCTTAAACACTTTCCTGGGACTTGGGTCATCTATCTTATTCCCCACTGTTTGTGTAGCAAGCCCCAGCCTTACTTGGTTACTAAAACATACAACTCTCAAACATGGTGTAAAAATAGTTGACCAAAAGCCTGATGCTACCTGAGAAATGAGGCTGAATCTGAGAAGTCCATGCTAGATGAAGACCATGTGGTCAATGGCAGCACACAGAAATACCAAAGCACACAATTATTATAACATACAATAGCTATCCTTACCAGCATATGCATGCCTTGGCAGAAAATGCAGGAATTTGAATTGCACAAAGCTGCATTTCAAGCCATCACTAAAATTGATCACAGGCCTATTCCACTCTTTGTGAGGAAGCATGACAGAATCATGACATTCCACACTGGCAGATCAACTTACATCAAGTTCCAGTTCTAATTTGTTAATATTGTCTGTTGCGGAGTTCAGCTGCTCCAACTCAACCTGAAAAGAACCATATTTCTAATAATTTTACAACACATTATTTCTAATACACATTGTCCACCACTGGTGCAGTTGGCCAATTAGCAGATCTTCATAAGGTGCATTAGCTAAGCCCAGGATAAACCCTGTGATGCTAACACACTGATAAAATTGCATACAAAATAGATAAGCATTCCAGACTTTATCAAGCATAGCATACTTGAATCTGGAGAAGCTTGGGTGCAAAGCAATGGTAAAATATGAACAAAGAGCTGGGAAGGGTTGAAGTAAAATAGTACTAACCAACCTATATGCCTTCTACACACAGGTACACACCTGCAGTTCTCTGGGTACCTGCTTCACACCAAGTGAAATATGAAAACATGTTTGACCAGATTACAAAATAGTAAGTGAAATATGGCCTGATTGACACTATCCAGTGGCATAGCCAGGGAGATATGGTGGCCTCCCCATCTCCCATACACACTTATTTCTTCACCTGGATTTGTGGGTTTATAAATTCCAGCCTATTTACATGTTCATTAGCTATTGGACATTGAGAATCAAAGTCTTCAAAAGACATGGTTCCATTTCTCTACTGAGCAGCATCCATAGCTGTGCTGATGTTATCTGGAAAATATTAAATCTGTGTCACATAAACATCAGCATCATTTTAGTAATCTGGTTGGACAGTAGCTTCATGCCCAGCAATTGAAGGTTCAAAACAACCATGTTTGCAATACACATACCAGCTTAATCAACCACACTCAAAACACCTTACTAGGACATAATGAAGGTAAGCCCACATATTCTAAGCTGATAAGCACCTCATAGCCATATTACCCGACCAATAGATCTTGGCTTTTAATTAACAGCTGCTGTATTGGCCCAGTTCAAGGCTATCTAACGCTGGTTGCAAGACGCGTTCTTTGCGCCATACAACACCGCTTATGCTAAGAAAACGGGGGTATCATATCTTACCTGCAAAATATCACAACTATGAACTTACAAAGGTGCTAGTCTAGAGCCCGTCTTGAACACAGGCCCCTAACGGCACTGGAGGCACAGTGCCAAAGCACCGGCTTACCAACGCACAACGAAAAGGTCATAAAAGCCAGCCTTTTGCAACTTCGATTGTAATCGTCAATTTTCCAGTTCAGTCTTCGCTAATCTCCGCTACAAGACCGCCAATATTCTGTCAACACGCGCATCTGCAATTGGGCGACGGACCCCGCGCCCCTCGCAAACTCGGCCTCGTTAACTCGGTCGACTAGTTCCGAAATTGGCCAATAGGTAAGTAAGGAATAAAAACCAAAAACTGTTAGAGAAGGAGTAAAAACTGCGGCAACTTTCACTGCCCTAAATATTTTCTTAACACCTTAAGAAAAATGAATATAATTAAAGCCCGACAGCACCAATCCTGGGACATCGAGTGGAGGCTGACAAAGAGTGGTTCCGCCCTTGCCCCCCTCTCGAGAGGCTGGCTCGGGGGGTGAAGTTAGACATAATTTAATAGAGGGTCACCTTGGCGCAAGTCATCTATACCTTGAGCTCATTTCGGAGTGTTGTGTGGCTCTAGTCTGCATTATGTGCTTCTGATGTGGGAACTATTTGTACTCTGGTGGCCAAGGTGAGAAGTAACATAATTCCTTAAAGTATACTCAGGGTTAGGTGGCCTCGCTTAGCGCGGTTTGATGTAGAGCTTGTATTGACGAGGGGTGGTACAGGTGGGTGCTATTCACCCAAGTTAATTGTTGTTGGCGTTGGAAGTGTCAGTCAGATCCGAGTATTTTTGTGTGTCATGATCATTGTTGCTTTGTGATTTTCAGTGAGCTTGTGTGTCATTTAATGCACCAAACATGTTAACCATAGCCCCCAACGTACAGCCCAGTCCGAGTCCGTAGGTGGTACCCATTTTGCCCAGCCTGTAGAAAAGCTCTACTGTGCTGCATGCATGCATGCAATTGGTGTGGTGAAGATGGTGTAGGCATATGCTGAATCTAGTTTGGCTAATGTGCTGTAATTTCAAAGTTTTTAATGTAAATATAACATGGCATTTCTTGTACTTCAGCCTGAATTTATTAGCAGTGTATATTATGTTTAGAGAGACTCTAGTTGCTGCAACCATTGGTAACTGCTGCATCATGTCCAAACTCAGCATACTTGGGCATTCAGCTTACATTCAATTGCAGTGATGAAGTCTCAATGTCACTACACCTGGGCTGTTCAGCTTACATGTATTCACCACAGCCTAGACTGAGGCTATCACTGTCAAAATGGGTGTTCATTGCCAGCTTTTTGGTGTCTTAGACAGGGCATATACTAAATTGCTAGCATTGGGATGCTATACATGTGCCTATATAATATAGCAATGTCTGCTTGGCACAGAATTATAGACAGCTCAATGCTGCTTTTTTGTAAGACTGGCCATGTGACAGAATGAGTCTAAGGCACTCTTAAACTTGATTCAATATTATTTTTGCTGGGAGAGCCATGTGCATGCATGTAGGGGAAACTGTTGCATGGTACAATGCAATTGCTGGTCTGATTAAACCCAACCATGACTTTGTACATAGCTGTAGTTTGATGCCCTCCCAGTTGAGCTCAACTGTCTGCTTACCGCATTCTTGACATGTCAGGGTGATTGGGGTATGGGGCACCCCTTGGACCACACATGCAGATAACAACAAGCCTTGTGTCTTGCAGAGCATTTTAATTTCCATTTTAGGTTTAGATGTTTGTAGCCTAAATGAACAAATTGTGTTTCTGTTGCAGGTAACAATGTCAAACAACAGAGAGCATACCATTCCGAGGGACATCTTGGATGACCTCTGTAGTCGTTTCATCATCAATGTGCCTGAAGAGGAGCGCACACAGACCAACCGCCTAATGTTCCAAGTAGAGCTGGCACACTGGTTCTACATTGATTTCTACTGCACTGACGAGTCAACGTCACTGCAGCCGTGCGGCATCAAGCAGTTTGCACTGCATGTCTTCCACCACCTGCCCTTCCTGCGGCCCCACCTGGCTGATTTCGAGAGCGTGCTGTCCCGCTGGCGTGACTACAAGCTGGCGGTGCCCACGTGCGGCGCCATCCTGCTGGACGACACGTGCTCGCATGTGCTGCTCGTGCAGGGCTTCTACTCGCGTGCGTCCTGGGGCTTCCCCAAGGGCAAGTGCAATGAGTCCGAGCTGACCGAGCTGCACCGCTGCGCCGTGCGCGAGGTGCAGGAGGAGATCGGCTTCGACATCGGTGAGCTGCTCAACCGGGACGACTACCTCGAGCAGGTGGTGAACGAACAGCGCGTGCGGCTGTACCTGATCCCGGGCGTGGCGCGCTCCACCCGCTTCCAGCCGCGCACGCGCAACGAGATCAAGTCCATCGAGTGGTTCCCCGTTATGGACTTGCCGACCAACCAGAAGGACATGCCGTCCAAGATGAAGCTGGGCGTCAGCCCGAACAGCTTCTTCATGGTGATCCCGTTTGTGCGGCCGCTGAAGCGGTGGATTCACCAGCGCACGGTCGGCTCAGGTCGCCGGAGGGGCGGGCGGGAGAAGACCAGCAGTGAGAGCGCGCACGAGCCGCGCAAGCAGCAGCAGGCGTACTCGCAGGTACGTTGGAAGAGATTGCGAGGCGGTCGGTGGAGCCCCGCCCAAGCTGGTGGCCGGTAAAAAGCGACCGATTGGAGCTGGTTACTGGTGGAGAGGCTCGACCTGAGGCGGCTGGTGGATGGGAAGGCTCTGTTGGGTGTCGCTGGAAAAGACGGGATCTTCTCTGTTGTGTTTCTTATAGCATTATCTTGCATAGATCTATCAAGCTTCAAAATTGTGACCGTGACACGCAACTGGGCACTTTTTTGTGGTGTGCCCGTGCCCTGTCACGTGCTGTCGTGGGTGCCGTCTCGGACGCTCGCCACCTTTGGATATGATCGTTACGCGGGCCTGTCGCCGCTGCCATCTTCCCACGTGTCAGCCAGCCCCCATCGTTTTTCATAGTGCATAAGCCGGATAGACGGTCGCCACGGAGTTCGCTGCCGTACTACCGCACGGCCCCTTGCCGGCGGCCGGAAGACGGCAGCACACCCAGATGTGCCCGCCGCCCTGTCGTGTCGGGCTGACGCGCGTGCCGTCCGCCGCAGGCGCTGCAGGACGAGCTGGCCGACATGACGTCACGCGGCAAGGCGCGCGGCAAGGCGGCCTCGCCGCAGAAGCCGCCGCCGGCGCAGAAGCCGGCGCCGGCGGCGGCGCAGTCGCGCTCGGCCCGCAGCCGCGCCAAGTCGCAGAGCAGCTCCAGTCTGGCCGAGGAGCGGCCGCCCGACGGCTTCTCGGCGCCCAGCTGGGAGAACTTCTGCTTCGACACGCGCGCCATCCTGGACACGCTGGCGGTGTAGTGGAGCGTCGCGGGCCGGGACGACGGCGCAGGGGTCGGCTGTGGACGTGAGGTCAAGGCGTCAGGTTAGGTCGGGACACGTAGCCGTCGGATGAGGGCGGTGCGAGGTGATGTGACCGTCCAGTGATGTCCACGCCGGACGACAGAGGCGTACTCAGGAAGGGGGTGTTCAGTGTAAAAATTTTGGCTTTGCCTCTCCCCACTCCCCTTTGTAAAATTCTGCATACGCCCCTGCCGGACGATAAGATGGTATTGCGAGGTTTATGCGGGACCATATGACCGCTACCGTCTGTTTGGTTCTGTGCGTGACGCCTGTCGTGTGCCGAGCCCGTGTCGCAGGCACTGTTTTTGTCGTGTAGCGCACTTCATAATGTACAGTCTTGTCTGGTGTGCTCCCTTACGGTCGTGAAAGGCCATGGACATGTTTGTTGTATATGATTACCCCAAGTACGCCCTGATTTGGACGGGGTTGTTGTGCTGCACATTTCGCTGGGCCCATGAAATTGCCTCGCCAAGCTTTTCTTTTTTAAGTTATGTTACGTTTCCGGGCCCATTTGATGGTGATCGAATGTGTTCTTGGCATTTAGTCATCAGTGATGCTATCCCCCGTCGTTGGGCCTCTGTGATCGCTGCAACCGTCGACGTTCTTATATGTGACCGACCCAGACAGATAGCTGGCGCGTCCAAGTGGTTACAACGCTGGTTTTGTGACCATAACGGCAACGCAAGACAACAGACCGACTTGTGCAACGATCTCTGATGTGCTTATTGTGCGCGGTGCTTTCGCAGAAGGCAAAGCGTGCTGTTATCTCGCGGCATTGGTGCAAGGTGATACAGGCTCGCGAAGGGAGGACCGCTTCACTAGCATTGAGGCAGGCAAGCGTTATGAACCGGGCGGTCAGTCGCATGGCGGCGCACTTGGTGAGCGGCTCGTGGGTGCGGTGGCTGATGAGGCACTATTGTACAATGGGCCAACCTCCACCCACACAAAGCGCGGCACGCACCGCCACGCGGAAGTCCTAATGGGAGGGATCCGGCCGCGCTGCTTCCGGGTACGCCGCGGTCGTCCCTCAACGCGTATCTGCTGAGGAGCTCTTGCCGCGGGCCTGCGGGAGCCGCCGGCTGGCGCTTCGCCCATCGCCACGCGTCGCCTCAGGCACAACGCGGGGCAAAACAACTTGTGGCGGGGGCGCAACTCCAGCTGTTAACCGTGTGACGTGTCCCGCACCCATTCCCCGCTCGTCGCTAGCTGTGCTGCAGTTGTTCCATGGCGCGATCTCGCGGGTGGAGAGGAGAGGTGGAAGCAGCGTCGACTGGGAGCCGTCGGGATCGCTTCGACGCTCAGAAGCCAGTCGTATGCAATAACGCCGTGATTGGGTCACACGGCAGGGGCGTGCGCAGTGAGGCACACACTGTCGAGCGATGCTAATAAACGTCATTCTTCGTCGCCTTGTCCACATGGCTTGCCGACTGCGGATAGCACCATTGCAGTAGAGCCGCGGCGCCCGCGCCGGGCTCCTGTGCGGAACTCTGGTCCCCCTCCCCCCCTCCATCCCAAGAGCTCGCTATGCGAATGCTACTCAGCTCGCCCTACAAAAAAAAAAAAAACGGATCGTCGCAGCTTGGGCAAAGCATGTGGCCGCCTACGAAATACGAATGGACTAGAACTTGACTTATGGAAACATAGACTTCCATTCGAGCTGGAGACCGTTGATGGTCATCGCGCGTTACGACAGGGTCCCTGCACTTCACGTCTGAGGTGTTTGCAGACACCTGTCCTGTGGGTTCAACCGACACGATCATCTGGTGGATCGCGGCCGGAGTTTCTGGGCGCCATGGCGTCGGCACGAGCACAGCCCACACCCAGTTGCAGTCTCGCATCGTTGTATTAGTGGCCGGTGCGGCGCCGGCCTGGAACTGTGGCCTGCCGGTCCCGACGGACGATAGCCACCACGCACGGCGACACCATCACGCGCCAATGGGCCCGTGGAATGCTGACGGCGAGCCGTCGACAGACGCGCTCGCCGGCGATGTGCGTTACGGTTCGGGCCAGCCCGGGGAAATCGCGAAGACTCGCAGTAATTGCACTGAGATCGATGCGGGGCTGGTGAATATTGCAGGGACAGCGACCCACGCATCAATAATAATATGAGTGGGGTCCGGCTGCATCGCAGAGCCCACAACCGATGACGAGCCAGTGACAACAACGCGTTCGCCCAATATGGCAAACCGGTCAAACAAAACAAATACAAATAACCGCTGGCGTTTTCATCGGTCCACTGCCAGCAGTGTCGTGAATACAGCGAGGCTCCAGTCTGATTGGGCAAGTCACATAACCAATGCCGCAGTGAAGCGAGGCGAGGCGAGAGGCCCAGACCCATGGGCTTAGAACGTCGCGTACAGCAGCATGTACACATCACGTTGCTAAAAAGCACACGAGCGCGGGCATCTGTGCAGACGATACAACGGAAGCACATGCACACTTAAATACTTCTGATCAATGGTCCGTACACACAGCACAAACATCGACGGATCTTACCATTATATCATCATTCCTAGCACATGCCAGCAACAGATTGACGAATTGAAGGTAAAACTGTTCTGAATACTGATTTTGTGAGTGCAATTTGACACTTCAAAACCCGAGTAAAATGCGCCACACTAACAAAATGTCGAAAGGCTACGAAAAATGTCTCATAACTGACTAGTAAAGCCAGCATTACGTGCTGTCTTAGAAAAGCACAACAAAACACAAACACACATGTCTTGATAAACGACAGTACGCATGGCCTCGTAGCGTCGTGTAATAACATACTGATAGACCAAGGACTAGAAATTGAAACTCTTTGGTATCTGTACAACGGAATAGGCTATAATTGAAAACCATTCAATTAAAAAAATAATTGTGCTGTTTATCCACAAAATACATCCCTACCCGCTGCTCGCGCAAAATAGTAAACCCTGCTCCACTTTAAAAGCCACAACTAACGCGACAAATAAATTCAACTTCAGTTAGAAAATCAACGAACAGCACGTCAGGGGACAGTGTTCACTGCATGCAGCGATCGTGAGACCTCAGCATGATTAAGTAACTGTTAGCAATGCAGACTTGAAATCAGAGCATTGGATTGGCATATCACTCTGACTATTGTCACGCCCTGGAATCCCTCTGCCGCTATGAAGTCCATCATACTTCACCTGCCCTGACAAAACATCTGCAACACCACAAGACCATTGACGCGGTGACCCGTATCGTCCCGCCTCGGCGAAAGGCTGTCACGTGGCATGTCCTGGTCCCGTGCGAATACATTGGAAACTTGCCTACAGCATGAGGAGGCATTCCTCAACAGGAGAAGGTTGGTGTTCACAGACGGCGAACGACTCCACGAATTTGATTACTTGGAAGCGTCAATGAGAATTCGTGTGGATGACTAGGTACTGATTTCCGGGAAGCCCTCTATGTCCGATCAATCAACGGCACGCCAACACTTCTATCAACGACAAGCCAACACCTCTATCAACGGCAAACCAACACCTCTATCGAGGGCATGCCTATTTCTGTCACCAGGAGGCCAACACCTCTCCCACCAGCACGCCACACCACCTTTGCATCGGCACACAACCGGGGCCGGTGCACGGCCGTCCGTCGTACGCTCACCGCGGCAGGCACTTTTTGCCGGCACCCGGCTGCTCACGCACCAGCCGGGCGACGATGCGTTGGTAGTGGCGCTGGTTCTCTTCGATGAACGCGGCACGCCAGGCGTCGGCCGGGTCAGTGAAGCCGGGCTGCCGGCGGATGCCGCCCGGCTGCGGCGCGTGGACCAGGTACAGCTGGTCGAGCACCACCATCCGGTACCGGCGCAGGCACAGCGCCGTCATCTGGCGACCAGCGCCGCCACGGCCGGCTGTTAGATCGCGGTAACGGCGCAGGCACAGCGCCACCGCAGCGGGCTGTTAGATCGCGGTACCGGCGCAGGTACAGCGCCGTCATCTGGCGACCAGCGCCGCCACGGCCGGCTGTCATCGTGGTAACCGCGCAGGCACAGCGCCGCCGCCGCGGGCTGTTAGATCGCGGTAACGGCACAGGCACAGCACCGTCATCTGGCGACCAGCGCCGCCACAGCCGGCCGTTAGATCGTCTGGTAAATCATTCCGCTATGACGGCATTCCAGAAAGATCTGGGCATCTGACGCGTGGGACGGTAATTGGTATTAATTCCGTGCAGACGTATGGCAGACTACTGTCGATATTGCCATCACCGCATCGCATGCCTGTTGTTGCGGTGACGCAAGTGGAATGTTCGTGGAATGCGAAGGATTCGAGCCCGATCATAAATCCCACGCGGTACAAACTGCGCCAGTTTATCATTCGTCACAAGGTGGATCGCACGCGATCCGAGTATGAAATCGCCATCAGCGGCAACGCGGAGGTGACAGTGTCGTTCTGAAGTATCAGCTAGATGCTAGTGTAAAAAGTTGCTACATCGATATCCGCGATTAAACGTTACCAAAGCAGCTTTGATTTCATTTTCAAGATACCTAAAAGACTGCCGAGCAAGCACACTTCTGCTTACAATACCCGAGAGCCGTGCCGACATCCCGTCGGCGTCTCACCTGCGTCATCTTGTCCTGCTTGCCCTCCCAGCTAAGCCGTTCGTCGTAGAGGGGCTCGGCGTCCGTGCCGATGTAGATCGGCTCCCAGCGGTGGTACGGCACCTGCCGATACGTGACGGAGAACGCCTGGAAGCGACGGCGCGGCGTCAGCCCGGCACACCGGCCGCCTGGTGACCACTGCGGGCTTCTCCGGCGGGGATGCGGTCCAGCCACAGGTTCGAGTGCGTCAAAGTGGATATGGTTGTGTGCTCCAGGCTGCATGCTGTTTGGGACATGATGGAACATAGAGGGTGAGTGATGATCTCCAGTCGATGAGCAAAAGACATCCTGGGCGGACTTGGGTCTTTCCCCATCACCCTTTACTACATCGCACCACCCTTTCAGTACTGACGACCAGAGTCCACGCATCCATCCGACCGCACCGGCTTTCCACCACTAGCCAACACCAAAGGCGCGCATCACGCCCGCGGACACTCACCGCCACTTTGCCCGGCGTGAAGCGCTTGGTGGTATACTGCGAGACGCCGGGGAACCTCTGGCAGTGTGGACACACGTGTCGGTGGAACCAGACGGCCTCGCCCGAGCGGAGCATGCCCACCAGATCGCTCTTGTTGCCTGGCATCCTCTGCTCCACCTCGAACACCGGCAGCACGTAAACCTGACGGTCAGGGGGTAGAGGCCGGGTCAAGAGGCGCGTACGACCGGTGCCGCAGGGGCGGACAATGAAATCAAGACCCACACACGAGACGTTCAGCATACCTGTCAGATGCACACGCGTTGACTGTTGACGCTCAACTCTGAGAAGGACACGCTGGCTGGCTAGTGTCCACCCCGTGCGAACCCGCCGGTCATCTCACCTGTCGGCTCGTGACGGCCAGCCGCGGCTCCTCGCCGCGCCCAACCCGCGCCATCAGCTGCAGGAAGAGCGCGCTCGTGTTGACCGCCGGCAGCAGTTCGGCGTCCGAGCTGAGCACGAAGTGAGTGCGCGCCGCGCGCCGCGCCGCGTTGCGCGCCACGTTAACCGGGTATGGCAGCCGGAGCCGGCGGCGCTCGGAGACCGGCGCCGGCAGCGGCCGCGCGCAGTCGCTCGGCGCTAGTTGGTCGGGTGGCGCCAGGCGCGTCAGGTTCGGCGCGCGCGCCACGTGGTAGACGAGGTGAACGCTGACGCGGCGGCGGAAGCCGGGCGTGCAGCGACGCAGACGCGCCAGCTGGACCGCGAGCGAACACAGCTCGTCCGGCAGCACGAACACGGCCACGGAGAGCGGCCCGTCCCACCGAGTCAACAGCGCCGCCGTCCGCTCCAGCCGCTCGGCCGTCACGTGCGTGCAGTACGTGACGCTGCGGTTGCCGGTGACGCGCTTCACGGCCGGCGCGTAGTCGTACACCACTCGGTACGGGCCGGTCTCGCCGAGCTGCGGCGAGCCGACCGCGAGCCAGGCGCGCGGGGACGTGCCCCGAGCGCCAGCTGAACAGCTGGGCCGCTGGCCAGGCGAGCGCTGCGTGGCAGCGAGGCGGCGCAGCAGCTGGCGCTTCGTGCGGCGGTGCTCAGCTGACGACGACCACAGCACATGCACGCAAAAGGTGGCGAGGAGCGCCAGCGCGGCGAGCTGCAGCCAGCAGGCGCGGCGCCGCTGGAGCAGCACGGCCATGCCGCCACTGCTGCCACCTGTGGAAAATGAGAGATAGAGACATGTAAGCTGATGAGGCAAGTCAGAGGAAGATCAGGAACATGGTTTAACTGGTTAGCTTTGATTTCATTAACTGATTCAAGTGACCAATTTAACAATATTTTTAACAATTTGGATTAGGTATATACACTTGGACACATACCAGGCTGACTGACATGATATGTCATGACACAGCAAGAAAATTTTGTTTATGACTGTTCAATACCATGCCCACAAAATACTTTTTGCAGGCCCAAAATAGGTGACAGATGAGACCTTAAAATATTAAAACAAAATTATTGCTATGAACTATAAATGGTTGAAAGTCTTGAACTGTGACTTTAACTGAATAATGAATGGAAGTGGCCGGCTTACAACAACTCAATGACAGACACTGTCTCCTCATACTGACATATAAATCATGTTTTCCTCTGGAAACCAAGTAGGCAACTGGGTTTACCAAGCTGTCTCTTTTGCATTTCCTTTCATTGCTTCATGTGAATTTAAACAAACAACTTTTTCATTACATCATTCACATGATTCACTGAAATGCATGACCCCGTGTAGAATTCCCTACTCAAACATCTCTGCAAAAAACACTGTCTGCTAAAATAGACAATTAAGCACTGATACAAAATCATGCTTCATATTCAATGCAAACACATATGATTCACCACAGAATCTTGAGGGGACGGTTCATACGAACCAGCTCGCCAGGTCTTGTCTTAATCTTAAGCAATGTTCCACACCTCCATGCTCCAAACATATTGGAGAGCATATGTCTATCACCAGCTCAATGCACCTGTCCTGAGCCCCTAAGGTCAATTCAAAAATTCACATTCACCACCCAGTCCAGTCTATTTATCTACTTTCCATGCTAAGGAACGACAAATGCAATGCAATATATCGTTACTACGATGCGAAAGGTAGTTATCATCCACATTGGTACCGGACACTGCAAGACCAAACTGTTCATCAACTGACATTTTTAATATATCCGCCAACATGAAAATCATAAATGACAACTATCTTAGGTCCATCTTACCATCTTACCTTCAAAATCTCAATTACGATAACGGCAGCGGACGGCCGCCCACCCCAAGTCGTTGATGGCACGATACTGACGCGTCAAGGCCATCCCAAGGAAGAACCAACATTCGTTTTTCAAGGTGGGTCTTTGTGCACTATTTGTCGATTGGTGGACATAGCGACTGAATATGACGTCTGAATATGGTAGGCTTATGACACGGAAGATGATTGACCCAAGTTCACCAAGTGCTGAAAATGAAAAAAAAATCGACCATAGCGCATCGATTGGTAAAAGCTGTGTGCCGATCAGTACCAAAGTTGGGGGCATGGGCTGTCTGAGGCCAGTTTTGATGGCTTCGAGCTTTTTGGGGATTTCTGCCTTGACCCAAGGTCACAATGTGCTGGAAGGAAGGTTCTGTGCCGATCGGTTCCATAGGCTCGGAGCATAAAGTTGTCTGGAAGCTAATTGATGGTGGTTCCGTGCGTTTTGGAGACTTTTGACCTAACTCAAGATCACATGCTGAAGAAGCACTGTCGGAGCCGACCGACTTGATTGGATGCCCTCATCGGGCAGGGGTATTGTGTGGTAGCTAACCACCCTAAAGCAATGTTAGCGAATTTACACTGTCTAATTCTTCGCTTGCGATTATAAGTATTTTTTCCGCTGCCGTATTCTGGCCGTAACGTTACTTACCAGTCGTCTGCAATACACCTTCGAGATTTGATTTGAAAAAAGTTCTGCCTTCCAATGAGTGATTTACATTACCAGCCGATAGTGGTACCACAATAGCCTCGTATGTACAGGTTCGCACACATTGCGCACAACAAAATGCATGAAATTCGACACCGTAACTTTGCAAATAGTAGCTTGGTGAAAGGCGCAATTAACGGCTATTACTGCATACCAGCGGGCCGACCGCAGCGGTGATTTGCAAAGTTCGACGGCCAATTATAAATATGATTTGTCTTGCGCTGCGGCACGACCGCGCGTACAGGATATTATTGTGGGAGCACTCCCGGCCGGCAAGATAAGTCGGTTGTCAGCCAGCTTCACCTGTTTTTTTTACCCGACCTCTTGACGGCACATTGCGAAATGTGCCCCCCTCCGTTTCGTTGTGCGATGATGAGCATTCGGTGATCAGGGAAAAGCGCTCGTAATCTTACGCGAAGCGCTCGACTGTGTGGCAAATGCACATCAAACCGCTGATGTAAGGCTTTCAATTGACACTCCAGCATGTTTGAATGCCTAAAGCATCTTTTTTCGACGTCACTTAACAACGTGTCACTTGATGATCACGTGGTGGCCACAGCGGTGATTTGCAAAGCTATGGCAGTCATTTGTTCTCACACGGTGATATTGTGTTGTGCGGTCACACGCCGCCGAAACTCTGCGAACCGCCGCTGCGGCCGGTCCGCCAGCATTGACTGATGTGCCGCCAGGTGGCCGCCGCGCTGGCCCAGGTGCAGCAAATGAAAAAAGCTGCAACATGTTCACAAGCTGTGGGCGCTCGTTAAAACGGGCAAGGCATCAGTGAGACGATACAGAGAGAAGCTCGGGGAGCAGCACGAAGGACGCAGCCGCAACTGCAAAGGTCCGAGAGAAGCCGGCGGGTCACGGCCGATCCCCTTACCAAAACGGAGTGGCAATTGTTGAGACTTGTTTCACCATTGGGTTGAATCTGCATCAAGTTAGTATTACAAGTACCTTCAATTTATGTGAGTCAATCACAAAGAAACATCAAAAGTAATTGCAGTATATGTAAAGGCACTGGCAAGGAGCGAGCCTCATCTTTGATAACACTTTTGCACCGCATGAAGGAATTGCAGAATGAGTAAAGACAGCCTGGATAGAAACGAATCAAGCTATTCCAAAGTTATACACCCTAGAATGTCCTTACTTCGCAGGGCTCCACACCGGGTTGTCTATTCAACGTAGCGACCAGATCCAAGCGACCCAGACTGCCGCAATATTAGCACTGACGGCTCTGTGGGTTAGGATTCTGTCCCTAAGCTTACCGTGTTATCAGGAAGGGAGGCAAATGGCTCAACGCCACCTCATAGATACTACTGTATGGCCTACACTAGGAAAAGCAACGACCATCCGTGATGGCGCACGTCACGCTGGCTGCTCTGCTGTTCCGAAGGATCAATTTTTCAGCTGCCGATCCATACGCGTTTGCTGCTCTGTTCCCCTATGAAAGCTCATGCCGCTCTTCTGTCCCCTAGGGATCAATTCCTAGTCACCAATCCACACACACGCATTAGCTGCTCTGCTGTCCCCAGGGATCAATTCCCAGTCACCAATTCACGCGCGTTTGCTGCTCAGCTATCTCTAGGAACCAATTCCCAGTCACCAATCCACACACCTTTGCTGCTCTGATGGCCCAGGGGGTCAGTGCCCCGTTCTGGAGCTGTCCGCGTTAGCTGGTCTGGTGGCCCGGGGGTCAGTGTCCCGTTCAGGAGCTGTCCGCGTTAGCTGGTCTGGTGGCCCGGGGGTCAGTGCCCCGTTCTGGAGCTGTCCGCGTTAGCTGGTCTGATGGCCCAGGGGGTCAGTGTCCCGTTCAGGAGCTGTCCGCGTTAGCTGGTCTGGTGGCCCGGGGGTCAGTGTCCCGTTCAGGAGCTGTCCGCGTTAGCTGGTCTGGTGGCCCGGGGGTCAGTGTCCCGTTCTGGAGCTGTCCGCGTTAGCTGGTCTGGTGGCCCGGGGGTCAGTGTCCCGTTCAGGAGCTGTCCGCGTTAGCTGGTCTGGTGGCCCGGGGGTCAGTGCCCTGTTCAGGAGCTGTCCGCGCTAGCTGGTCTGGTGGCCCGGGGGTCAGTGCCCCGTTCTGGAGCTGTCCGCGCTAGCTGGTCTGGTGGCCCAGGGGGTCAGTACCCCGTTCAGGAGCTGTCCGCGTTAGCTGGTCTGGTGGCCCGGGGGTCAGTGCCCCGTTTAGGTCCCGTTACCTGGTCTGATGGCAATGCGAGTCAGAGCCGTCACAGGGTCTGCCCGCTAGGTACCCTCAAAGACCGGTGGCCACCCGGACCTGCGCGCTAGCGGCTGTGGTGCTGGTGCCGGTCAGCACCGTCACAGCGCCTGCTGCGCGTTTGTCACTCTGGTGGCCGTAAGAATCTGCGCCAGTCGCAGAGCGAGCCGTGTTGGCTGCTCCGCTGGCCGTAGGGACCACCGCTCTTTTTCGGAGCTTACCGCGTTAGTTGTTTTGGTACATGTGCGGATCAGCTCCCAGTCACCAACTCAGCCGCGTTCACTGCCGCGGCGGCCGGAGGGATAGTTGCCTCGTCCTGGAGCTCGTCTTTAGCTCGTCTGACGGCCACACGGGTCAGCGCCGTCACAGGGTCTGCTCGTTAGCTACTTTTAGTGATCAGTGCCTAGCACAGAGTCGCGCTAGCTCCTCTTGCGCTCGTGCAGGTCAGCACCGTCACAGAGCCTGTCCGTGGGGTGCTCCAATGGGCTTAGTGATCACCGTCCGTCACAGAGGCAGCCACGTTAGCTGCTCTGATGGTCGTAGGGGTCAGGCTCGGGGCCGTCCCGATGGGTGCCCTTTTAATAAAGGACCGGTGCCCCGTCATAGAGTCGGCTGCATTGCCTGTTCTAATGGTTGTAAGGGTTAGCATTGTCAGATGTCCTACAGGCTGGTTATTCCGACTAATTCCGTTGACATTGGGTCAGATATGAAGGTCAGCAGAGGTCAAACCAAGCCTCCACCATAATTCTTTACGTCTTTTTAATCACGAATGTAAACACAATATCGGAAGTTTTTTGTCACCGTGGCCCTCTAAAGGCATTTAACCAGACCGCAATGTGACCTTCAAATAAGGTCACTGGCCTGCAATGAACAGCAGTGATGTTGCTCATAAGAGGTATATATGTCAGAGTTCGTTGCAGGAGGAAGTCTGCGGCACTTCGGACACCGATCTGGTGTTTGACATTGCTTGACCGTATTGGAGCTGAAT